GTCCACCATCCTCCGCTCTCTCCCCTTGAAGTCCACCACCTTCCTCAGCTCCGGCAAGAAATCGCCCGGGTCTGTCCCGCTCAGCTCGAATACCTCCCTTATCACCTCCCTGAACTGCCTGGTCACCGCATCGACGGCGGCCGCAAAGTAGCACTTCCCAGAGATCATCCTCATGATGATGTTTAAGGACAGCTCCTGCAGCCTCGATCTCATCTCCACACATGCGAAACCGCCACCCCCTACCACCTCCGCAGCCATCTCGTGGAGATTCTTCATGACAAGCCTCACTTCCTCTAGCCAGTCGGCGAAGGAGCCGGCAAGGCGGTGCGGGGAAAGGATTTTGAGGGTCATGAAGCGGCGGAGGTTGCGCCAGTGGGGGCCGTAAGGGGCGCCGCCGATGGTGGTGTTGCCGTAGGCCATAATCTCGCCAGAGAGTGTGCGGGGGCGGTTAGCGAGGACGATGTCATTCCTGGTAAAGCACTCCTCAGCCGTGGATGGGGAGGATACGACGACCACGGAGCGGAAGCCAAAGGAGAGGGAAAGGACAGGGCCGTAACGGTCTGAGAGAGATTGGAGGGTCCGGTGGACTGGCTCTTTTATAAGGAGGAGGTGGCCAATGATAGGGAGTGAAGGTGGGCTCGGTGGGAGATTCCTCTTGATGCTTCTCTGCAATTTGAACAAGCAGAGAAGGAAGAGGAAGGAGGATGCTGAGATGATGTACACCCACACATCTTCCATGAACCTGTGACGGAGGCTGAGAGAGAGAGAGAGAGAGAGAGAGAGAGAGAGAGAGAGATGTAACAGGTTAGAGGTTTTATAAGGTAAGGTTGGATCTAATTTTTCACTCTTTATACAATTTCTCAATGTAGAGTAATGGGAAAATTACCAAAATAGTCAGGAATCTATTGTAATTGTGCCAATTCAATCCCAAACCTTTTTTTGTGTCAATTCAGTCTTAAACCTTTTGTATTTATGCCAATTCAGTCCATCCGGCCAATTCAGCGACGGCGAGGTCAAGCTTGCCCGGCCATGGCGAGGCTCGACCTCGTCGGCCTCAGTCTCTGGCCAGTCTGGCGACCAGACCGGGGAAGAAGATAAGAAAAAGAAAAAAGAAAGAAAGAAATAAATAATAATAATAATAAATATTTATAAAAATGTCGGCGTCGTAGCCTGCTAGCGTCCCATCATCCGTGGCCAAAATGGCTAGATAAAGCCAATTGACAAATACAAAAGGTTTAGGACCGAATTGGCACAAAAAAAGGTTTAGAACTGAATTAGCAGAATTACAATAGGTTTATGACTATTTTGGTAATTTTCCCTAGAGTAACACATATCAAAATTATACATCAAAATTGGGATACAAAAATTTAGCAAAAGGACACTATAAGTGCCATAAGCTTGTGTACTACGGCTCACTTTGGTCCATAACTTTTTTCGGATCACTTTGGTCTGAAGTCGGAGGAAAACGATCACAAGTGTCATAACTTTTTTTGGATCACTTTAGTGCTTTAAATTTTGAAAACGATCACTTAAGTGCTAAAATTTTTGAAAAACGAACATTTAAGTGCTAAAATTTTTGAAAACGATCACTTAAGTGCCAATCTCCGGCGAGACTCCGTGAGCCACGTCGCTTCGAAATTAATAAAAAAATGCCACGTCGATTTCCGGCAAAAAATTGTGTACGGCACTGGAATTGCACTTAAGCGATCGTTTTTCAAAAATTTTAACACTTAAGTGATCGTTTTCAAAAATTTTAGCACAAAGTGATCCAAAAAAAGTTATAACTAAAGTGAACGTCGTCACAAGTTATGATCTTGTAGTGTTCTTTTACCCAAAAATTTATGTTGCCTTTATTATTTGTTATTTCTACATTCATGACTTATAACTACAATTACTTATTATTTGACACGAATCTTTTATTTATATTAGTCAATGTAAGTACTTTTTTTAAAATCACTCGCTTCAAATCGTCAACTCAATAGTAAAAATTATCACATTTCGATTGATCATCATCCTAATCAAACATCGCAATCCTTGTACTTCCAATTGATGAATGATTGTGTACCGAAAGAGGGACGAAGAACTTGATGATTGGGTTCTAAAATTAATAAATATGAATTCCTTGACGGTAACACAAATCTTTCATAAAGAAGAAGAGCAAGTCTTTGATAGGCAAAATGAAATAAACAACTCGAACGATTAAAAAAAAACTACTGGAAAATGACTCAAAATAAATTATGAGTAAAGTGCATTGAAAGAAGTAAATATTGTTCTTTGATTGCATCCTTTATTCTTAAGATGTGCTCCTTTAATAGTCTATGGATGGTTGGCCTGTAGTTATAATTGTGCCCACTCATTGAAATCAAATTTCGACTATATATTTGATTGTATAATTGTTCTCGCCTTAGGAAACTCGACCGTAATAACTAGTTGACTCGACTGCAATAACCCTATGGCTGCAACTTTCAAACAACACCTTTGGTAATTGCTCCAGCCTAAGACTTCGATTAATTTGCTATTCCCTCTATTTTTATCCTTATAGTCGATTTGATTTCAGCCAAACTTTGTGAATCGACGTCAATGCTACTCGCCATGAATGACATTGACTTGAATGCCATCGACTTAGATATCGGTCAATGGATGAAGACAGATCCCCCATTGTCGACCTAATTCTATTGGCTTCTCATAATCAATGTCGGTGTTTAACTGTCGATTCTATACATAGTCTATATCAAATCACTTGTGTTGGTCAATATATTGTTTACCCCCTTCCTTGTTGATACCCGTCATGTTCTATTAATTAGTCAATATTCATAATCGGACTTAACTTTATTTAGTTGATGACTCTGCTTTATCACTATAATCCGACTTGAGATATTCCTCTTTGTCTCAATGGTCTTGACACTTTCTCATTAAAATTGACCCGAGTTAATATCATATTCAAAGCCATAATGTATGGTCAATGGCATCAATTCTTATTATCTTTAATTCTTATTATTATCTTGCTCGGAGGGTAGGAGAACTTTACACTATTTTACTTTATCCCCGGTTGGAGGGTAGGCGATTTGTTTTTATTACTTCTTGCTCATTGTTTAATATTAATATTATTATTATTATTATTATTATTTGCGTGTTGTCCATCCGTGTGTTATTGGTTCCTTTTTGGATAAGCAAAAGTAGATGACACTATGTGAAATTTTTTATTAGGCCTCTTTAGGATATATATATATATATAGTAAATAATATGATATAATTTTATCGGATGTTGTGTATGATCCACTAATTTAAACCGTCGATTGCAATTCCTCATATTATACGACATATCAATCAGTGAACTAGCCTTTTTTTTTTAAATCTGATACCACGTTTTATTAGTAAGACCAATTGATATTTGGATCGGTGTATGCACCTGCCGTCTAGTCCCAAGGCAATTTGACCTCCGCTAGATGTGTTTGTACACCACACGACTTGATTAACTAATGTCTGAGGCAAAAGGTCTTAGAATGAAAGTTCATATGCCAACTTTTGTTTGGCATTGTTCGATATAGGAGTCAGCACTTCCTTTAATAGCTTTTACGGGAACGATATGTTGGTGACCATTCCGCGTAAAAGATTATCTCAAGGGAAATTGTGTACTTTCAATAGACTTGATCGTTATAACTATAGCTACATTCAAGAAAGTTTATATTAACCAAAGCTTGGAATTTAGATTACCCCGATGCTACTTAAAAGTGTAAAATGAGCAAAATGAGAGAGTTACCGTACAAAATAATAAAGATGCATATACGGGATAGCATATAAGGCAATAATCCTTGGGTGCTTTCATCGAGTCAAAAGGCAGATTACACTTATTTTAAATAGATATTGAGTAGAATTATTCTGAAATTTTCATTCACCTAATAAAGAAGTTCGATTTATTGAATACTCGACCACGTCAATTTTAAAAGTTTTAGAATTTAATCCCGTGATACAGAAAATTCATAATAACATTACAACTCGAATATAAATTGCAAAGAGTCCTAATGCATTTTTCTCAATCAGATGAAGAAGTAGTGTGCATCAGTTCTATTAATGTCGAGGAATGAATGGATACGAACGGATCCCAAATCTCTGCACTCCTTTTGAAAACGTGGAGGTTGATCGGCCGATACGCCAATTTTTTTGCGTCGTGTCCTCCTCGCCACTCGCTATACGAAAAAACCAAAAAATGGAACGGCACGGTCGAAGGTGATGAAGGCTCTTTTACTTTTGTGGCCCTTCATTGAGGAAGAAAAGGCAAATGGAAAATGTCGTGTCTTATCCTTTCCAAACAAGCGGATACCAATTTCAGAGGACACTTCTATCGCATCTCGATTGTAATCGTACAATCACATGACGTGCTGCCGTAATTGAGCTCGAAAACATTGTAACATGTCGCGAAATCATTTTGTAAAGTGTCGGCATGATGTCGTGTTCGAGTTCAATGTCGTGACCCATTAGTCTGTGCTGAAGGTGTAAGGCGAGGTTGCTCGCGCCTTATTATTCGGCATGAGGTGCCCACAAAATCCCAACAAGCTCAATATCTTGGTTTCATTTTAGAAGGGGTTATCAAAAAAGTCATAAACCTATTATAATTGTGTCAATTTAGTTTTGAACATTTTTTCACAAAAAAAAATCTTATTAACAAATAATTGGGGTACTTATTAAAACGTATACGAGAAAAGTTTTGATATCTAGGACAATTAATGTATTGAGAATGAATCTGATTTATAAGCCCGTTTCCAGCTTGCCCATTGATTTCATCTAATTGAAAGCTGTAATATTTTGTTAATTAATTACTTAACAAGTGCAACGGGTATATTTGTTAACGAATGTCTTCGGAAAAATCATAAATAGTTCAGTGAAGAAGTTTAATCTTTCAAAACTGGCTATCAGAGAAAGTTGCTATAGGGGGATCATGTGGATCCTTTGAGACAATAAAGATGCCCAAATGGGTTGACTGGTAATAGTGATCTGGTCGCTCATGTCATCTCGACAGATTTTCATTCATACACATCACAGTTAGGATTCATACATTCGCTTGTCGCATGATACATCATCGTTACCACAACATGTCATTACACACCACGCCATCGTGCGATGTAGGTGTAAGTGGTTAACAATGGCCAAAATAAAAAAGAATGCTCACTTAAATAGAGTATGTGATTATTCTTTTATAGTGGACTGGATAGACTCGAATAATGACATAAAACGATGTATGTTGAATAAACTACCCTGACTTTATAGGTCTAGTGTAAAATAACTTATTTTTGAAAGATCGAGTGAGATTTACTCCATATTATTCCATGTCGCTTCCTAACCCAACGTGTACTTTTTAGGTTTTTGGTGTCTCTAGCTAGCATTTCTTCATTGTTTCCTCACCAAAGCGATCATCTCCACCGGCTAGGAAGGGCGCCATGATTTCCCGTGGCTTGCACAAGGCCTGCAAAGGCTCCGCCGGTGGCGCGGTGAGGCCGTTGCCCTCCGTCATGTTGATCTCCTCCAAGCCAACTCTCCGCCACTCGAAGCACTGAAGCAATGCTCCTAACGCTAACCCCACCACTCTCCTCCCAAGAGCAGCCCCGGGACAAGCTCGCCTTCCAGCACCGAAAGGAATCATTTTAAACCCTTCGTTGCTCTCTTCGCCGCCGTCAAATCTCTCGGGCACGAACCTCTCAGCATCCACCCATAGCTTGGGGTCCCGATGAAGGCTCCATGCATTTACTAGCAACATCGTACCTCGCGGAATGTGGAAGTTCCCGATGGACGTGTCCTCTGAGGATTCGTGCGGAAGCAGAAGCGGAGCTGCTGGATACAACCTCATTGTCTCGCTAACGACGTTTTGAAGGTAGTTGAGATTAGCGAGGTCAGATTCTTCGAGGAGGCGATCATGTCCTACTTTGGATTCTAACTCGTCGCAAGCCCTTCGCATTGCTTCCGGGTGGTTGAGGAGAAGTATCATCGCCCATTCTATTGTGGTGGCCGTGGTGTCGCCTCCAGCAAGCAGCATTACCTGGACAATTCACAGGACTAATAATCTACCTAAAGTGGGTCTTCATGTTATAAACAAAAAAGGAACTGCTAGGTTTACTAAAAATACTTTCATCTGGTAGATTGACAGTGAAATGAAAATTATTGAATACTCAACAAGTACACACTTTTCAATTTTGGTAAATGAACACATTCAATTAATAGTTGGGAATCATGTCTATCTATATAGAAAATATTTCACACCGGCAGTTTACATTATATAAATTCTTACCAAAACTAGTTTACAAAATGGGTTTACCGAATAGTGTATCAGACTGTTATTAGCTACTAAACATGACCCATTTCTTAAAGTGATATTTACAATTTGACACACCATTTAGTAAACCGACTCTTTAGACCGGTATTAGTACATCCAGCATTGTTCGTAAGAAAATGCATCAAACCAAATCACGTGTTTAACTTGTCATGGTATTTCATGTTTGTTTCCGGGATTCTCCTTTCCCATCCGTTTTAGGTGCGGTGCATGTTTCTTATGTTTTTGGATCACCATACCATTTATTTGATCGAGTAATCTTAATCTGTCGAATAAGCTAGGGAAAAAATCTCATGCGCCACTCAACTTAAATTTCTATCTTGGACTCAAACCACACATTTGATTGGCTAGTTTTAGTTGTGTATTCTTGATTAGATAAGGATGTAAGGACCGTCGGGTAGCCCTTTATTCTTTTCTGAGGTTTAGTATATGTTGGATGTTGACCCTCTTGACTATGTAGCACATGTGTTTGGAAGGATGTAAGGACCCAAACGATATTTTTTTCTCTATGTGACCAGTTGATTGAGGCGGCTATTACATTCTTATAGGATAAGCTACTTCATAGAATCCTCTTGCCTCTCGTGTACATTTATTTTGCAAAAAATGAATAATTTAAAAAATAACCTAAAAATAATTGCTTGTATTGTTTATAAAAATGAACAAGCGAGAAAATTTTTCGTCATCCGAGAATTAGTTAAACATAAATTCTGTCGATAATGAAAAAATTTTCTATTAAATGATTATTTCTAGCAACACATGCTATCATTTATTGGAAAATATTTTTTGAATTATTTATTTTTTTGCAAAACAAATGGAGCCTTAATCTCATGTGATTATAATAGAGAAAATTACCAAAAAAATCATAAATCTATTGCAATTGTGCCTATTCATTCATAAATCGTTTTTTTGCTAATAGAGTCCTAAACATTTTACATTTGTATCAATTTAGTCCAACTGGCCAATTTTGATCGGAAATCGCTGACATGGACGCCGATTGTCCTACGTGGAATGACCGATGCTGACGTTGACAAATTTTAATAAAATTTAAAAAAATTTCGAATTTTTATTCTTTTCTTTTCTTTTTCCTTTTTTTTCTTTTCTTTCTCTTTTTTTTTTCTTCCCTTTCTTCTGCTAAGCAAGGTCGACCTCTAGCCCTCACCTCTGACCAGTCACTGAGGTCCGGTGATCGGCTAGAGGAAGAAGGGAAGGAAAAAAAAAAAGAAAGAGAAAGAAAAAAAAGAAATAATAAATAATTCAAAAATTATTAAAATATTATTTAAAAAATATTCATGTCGGTGTCAGCCGCTCCATCTAGGACAACCGGCATCCGTCAAATTTGATTGGATAGACGGAATTGATACAAATATAAAAGATTTAGGACTCTATTGACAAACAGAAAAGATTGAAGACTGAATTGACACAATTGTAATATATTTATAATTTTTTTTTTTGTGATTCTTCCTATTATAATAAGATTGTGAGAAAGACTTTCTGATCAAACAATATGATCTCCATGAGAGTGACTTTTACCAATATTTTATGCACTGTTGACGGATAGTCACTCCCACTTTCACTTTAACCTTTTCTTGCGTGGAAAACATATCGGCACTAGCTCCAGAAATTCAACCAAGGTAGGCAGTACACGATTGGCTTTCTTACGTGATCATCTTGGTCTTTGGGCCCCACATCTTCTTTGGCTTGTCAATTTGTGTCGGATGACAACGTTGATCGATTAGTCATTTCAAAGGAACGGTAGACACAGAGACACGTTGGAGTCGATACTAGATTTATTAGAGTAGTTTGTCTTGTCTGATGATTAAAAACAATGAATGGTTGATGGACATCAATTCTTATGAAATATTCTTAATTTCATTTCGAAATTGTCTTCATTTAGTTGGCAATTGTACGCTGACAGCGAAAATAAGAAGTTAGATGTTACTCAATCAAAACTGTTTTTCAACATGTAAAAATCAATCACAGTTTCATTAAACAATTGGCGATTTAAATTTTTATAAACAGTTTAGTATCTTAGATTGTAGGAGAATGCGAGATTTTGAGTTTGAATTTTTTGACGGCTTTCATAAACTTTTCAGTAATTTAAAACAATTGATAAAAAAGGTTGCACCATCACACGAACGTGCTGGTAAATCAAATATGGCAATTAGAGAGTCACGGTGCTCACCAGAACGAGGCTTTTGACTGTTTTGTTGGTGTAGAATTCCGGATTCTGTTCTTGGACATCCAGCATCCGATCGATGAGCGTCGTCCTTGATGATCTCATCCCGTCGGCCCCTTTTGACGACGACAACGATGACGAACTCCTTTTCCGGCGGTGCTCATCCACCAGCTGCTGGAAAAACACGTCCGCCTTCTTCATCGCGCTCTCCATCTTCTTCTTCACCCCCTGAAAATCCGCCCACCACAACGCCGGGATGAAATCCCCAATGTACCCGGCGCTTCCGAGAAGCTGTAAGTATTCTCTCATGATCTCTCTGAACTCCCTCCCTTCCTCCGACACCTGGTCCGTCCCAAAATAGCTCTTTCCGGCGATCATACGCATCATCACGTTCAATGCAAGATCTAACAACCTCCGTCGCATATCCACCTTCAGCCATTCCCTATCTTCTGGAAAAAAGAAGACAAAACAAATAAATATACACACACATGTAACATCTCTTTGTGAGTGACATGTTAGACACAATCATTTATATTGAGAAAACTGCAAGATAACTTTTGGCTTTTGTGGATAAGTGGTGGAGTCTTCTTATGTGGCCGCCAGGTAAATTGTGTCTAGGCAATACTTACTCCGGTCTCCGAGACAGCTGTGATCTCGAAACAGTTGCTTCACCAGGGAAAGAACCTCATCGTGCCGGACAGCGGAGTAATCAGCAAGGGGCCTCGCGGAGAACATCTCCACGGCTGTGAAGCGGCGGAGGTTGCGCCAGTAGTCACCATAAGGGCTTAGGCCTATGGTGCTGTAGCCGTAGTTGAGGAGCTCCCCGGATAGCAAACGGGGTCGGTTGGCGAAGGCGACATCCTTCTCAGTAAAACACTCCTCAACAGCCGACAAAGAGGAGACGACCACGGTTTTGCGCGAGCCGAGCCGTAGGAGGAAGACTTGACCGTGCTGGAGCGAGAGATCGTGTAGGGTTCGGTGGAGGGGCTCCTTGACCAGGTGGAGGTGGCCAATGATAGGGAGGGAAGGAGGGCTCGGTGGGAGGTGGTGGTTGGGAATTGTGTTTTTATGGAGGAAGAATCTGTAGAGGAGGAAGAGGAGGGAGAGAGAGATCAGTGCTAGGTTCAGCCATTGATGAGGAGCTTCTTCCTCCATTGTCTAAGTGGAAAAGTATTGATTGAGCTGCTTGTTGAGTTGAAGTTCTTGAAGACATAAGTGACGAGGAAAGCATCAATTTAAAACCATCTACCGCAGTGCTAGATTTGGGCAAGGGCGCGGCCCGCTTCGGGCGGGCCATGAATAGAAAAGAAAAGAAAAAAAAAATTATTATAAATTTAAAAAAAATTAAAAATTATTCACGTCAGCGTCGATCATGTCACTTAGGATCACTGACGTTTATATCAGCGATTTCCGGCTAAAATTAGTCGAAATAATTCAATTGATAAATTGTAAAAATATTTATAACTTAATTGACATAATTAGAAGATTTAGATTTGAATTAACATAAATATAATAAATTTATGATTTTTTTTAAATTTTCCCCTTTAGTTGTCTATTCTTGATTTGATAAGGATGTGAGGACTGTTGGTAGCCCTTTATTCTTTTCTGAGGTTTGGTATATGTGTCGGATGTTGACCCTCTTGACTATGTAGCGCATGTGTTTGGAAGGATGTAAGAAGTAAGAACGATATTTTTTTTCTAGGCTATCAGTTGATTAAGGCTGCTATTACATTCTTAAAATCATGTGATTATAATAAGATTTTGAGAAAGACTATTTGATCAAACGATATTATCTCCATGATAGTGACTTTTACCATTATCTTATGCATTGTTGACGCATGAGTCACTCCTCCTTTCACTTTAACCTTTCTCTTTGCGTGGAAAATGTCGGCACTAGCTCCAGAAATTCGACCAAGGAAGGCACTGCGAGATTGGCTTTTCTTACGCGATAATCTTGGTCTTTGCCCCCGAAACTTCTTTGGCTTGTCAGTTTGTGTCGGATGAAAACGTTGATCGATTAGTCATTTCAAAGGACCGGCAGACACATAGACATGTTGGAGCGGATACTAGATATATTAGAGTCGTTTGTCTTGTCTGATGATTTAAAACAATGGGTGATGGAAAGCAATTCTTGTGAAATGTTCTTAATTTTATTTCGAAGTTATTTATTTTGCCGATCGTACACTAACCATGGAAATATTGCATTTTTCGTAGCTGGTCTCGCGATGCATTTGTACGTCCGAGAAAATGAGAAATTGTATGTCGCTCAATCAAAACCGTATTTTAACATGTAAAAATCAACCACATATTTATTTAACAATTAGCGATTTAATTTTTTTATAAACAGTTTAGTATCTCACATCGTAGGAAAACACGAGATTTTGAGTTTGAATTTTTTGAAGACTTTCATATATTTTTCAGTAATTCCCATTTCTAACAATTTAAAATTTTAAAACAATTGATAAAGAGGTTGACAAATATGGTAATAAAGGAGTCACGGTGCTCACCAGAACGAGGCTTTTGACTATTTTGTCGGTGTAGAATTCCGGATCCTGCTCTTGGACTTCCAGCATCCGATCGATGAACGTCGTCCTTGATGATCTCGTCCCATCGACCCCTTTTGACGACGACTCACTCCTTTTCCGGCGGTGCTCGTCCACCAGCGGCTGTAAACCCGTCCGCCTTCTTCATCACGCTCTCCATCTTCATCTTCTTCTTCACCCCCTGAAAATCCGCCCACCACAACGCTGGGATGAAATCCCCGATGTACCCGGCGCTTCCGAGAAGCTACGAGTACTCTCTGCTCATTATCTCTCTGAACTCCCTCCCTTCCTCCGACACCTGGTCCGTCCCAAAATAGCTCTTTCCGGCGATCATACGCATCATCACGTTCAATGTAAGATCTAACAACCTCCGTCGCATGTCCACCTTCAGCCATTCCCTATCTTCTGGAAAAAAAAACAAGAGGAAAAAACAAATATATATACACACACACATATAACATCTCTTTGTGAGTGACATGTTAGACACAATCAATTATATTGAGAAAACTGCAAGATAACTTTATGCCTTTTTTGGATAAGAGGTGGATTCTTCATATGTGGCTGCTAGGTAAAATTTGTCTAGGCAATACTTACTCCTGTCTCCGAGACAGCCGTGATCTCGAAATAGTTGCTTCGCCGGGGAAAGAACCTCCTCGTGCCGGACAGCGGAGTGATCGGCAAGGGGCCTTGCGGAGAACATCTCCACAGCTGTGAAGCGGGGGAGGTTGCGCCAGTAGTCCCCATAAGGGCTTACGCCTACGGTGCTGTAGTCGTAGTTGAGGAGCCCCCCGGACAGCAAGCGAGGCCGGTTGGCGAAGGCGACATCCTTCTCAGTAAAACACTCCTCGACGGCCGACAAAGAGGAGACGACCACGGTTTTGGGGGAGCCGAGCCGTAGGAGGAAGACTTGACCGTGCTGGAGCGAGAGGTCGTGTAGGGTTCAGTGGAGGGGCTCCTTGACCAGGTGGTGGTGGCCGATGATAGGGAGGGAAGGAGGGCTCGGTGGGAGGCGGTGGTTGGGAGTTGTGTTTTTATGGAGGAAGAATCTGTAGAGGAGGAAGAGGAGGGAGAGAGAGATCAGTTCTAGGTTCAGCCATTGATGAGGTGCTTCTTCCTCCATCATCTAAGTGGAAAAGCATTGATTGAGCTGCTTGTTTAGTTGAAGTTCTTGAAGACTTAAGTGACGAGGAAAGCATCATTTTAAAACCATTTAAAGAATAAGTTATAGTTAGGAAAAGTGCACGACTGATAAGTATAATATATGGTATTAACATGAAGGAGGATTTATATACCTTGATTTGCGCGGAGATGTGTACGTTAGTTTTCCTTAATTTCTCATGAGCTGTCCAGTGTCCACTATTGCTCAAAATACGACGAGCATTGAGCAATAGTGAATACAACTATAAAAATCTACTTTTAGGAAGCTGCTTCACTCGTACACGATGGTGAACGCCGGGGGCAGATTCGTCGTGGGCTACTTCCTCTCGGCAGAGCTGGCGAGGGTGTCGGAAGGGCGTTATGTGAAGATTATGTGACAAACGCCATCAGAATAAGCCCCTCGACATGCTCATCTACCCAATCTGATTCCTCAGGTACGCCTTATTCTATAGCACGTTATGTGAGTTATGAAAAATTTTCTGCGCAACACCGGTGTTTCTTGGCAGCAATTACTGCAGGACATGAACCAAACTCTTATGCGGAAGCGATTAAAGATGAACGGTGGAGAGAGGCCATGAGTAAAGAAATACAGGCTTTAGAAGATAATGGCACATGGACAGTCGAAAATTTGCCGCTGGAAAGAAAGCAATTGGGAGCAAGTGGGTGTATAAAATTAAGTACAATTCGATGGAAGTGTTGAACGATACAAGGCGCGATTGGTGATACTGGGAAATAATCAAGTTGAAGGCATAGATTATCGGAGACTTTGCTCCTACGGCAAAAATGTGCACCGTACGCACCTTTCTTGCCGTTGCGGCCGCAAAGAATTGGGAACTTCATCGATGGACGTTCAAAATGCTTTCTTACATGGCGATTTAGAGGAAGAGGTTTACATAAAGATGCCACCGGCTTTGCCTCTCAATCATCAGGGAAGGTATGCAAACTCCGGAAATCTCTATATGGTTTGCGGCAAGCACCTGGATGTTGGTTTGCGAAATTGGCTGCATCTTTGAAAGCTTATGGATTTCAACAATCATATTCAGATTACTCCTTGTTCACTTTTCGAGTTGGGACTGTTCAATTGAATGTGCTTATTTATGTTGATGATCTCATTATCTCCGGTAATGATATTTCCGTCATGTGCAAACGTTCAAGAACTATTTGAGTCGTTGTTTTCATATGAAAGACTTGGGGAAGCTGAAATTTTTCTTGGGGATTGAAGTGGCGAGAAACTCGGATGGTATTTTCTTGTGTCAACGTAAGTATGCGTTGGATGTGATTTCTAAGGTCGGATTCTTGGGTTCTAAGCCGGCTAAAACTCCTCTTGAACAAAATCACAAGCTAGCCCTTACGAGAGCGATGATGTAGACAACCCGCTCGATAGGCGCCTAGTGGGTCGGCTTATTTATCTAACAATAACTCGACCGAATTGTCTTACTGTGTGCATATTCTTGCACAGTTCATGCGATGGCCAAAGAAAGCTCATTGGGAGGAAGGCGTGAGAGTTACGTTATCGAAAGGAAATCCAGGTCGTATTATATTGCGTGCCAATTGTGACTGAAATTGTCACTTCTGCGATTATTGACGGCTAGTTGTCCTTTGACGACGATCTTTGACGGTTACTTTGTTCTTTTGGGAGAATCTCCTATCTCGTGGAAGACTAAGAAGCAACGACGGTGTCTCGCTCATCCGCGAAGCGGAATACGTGTCTATGACTACTACGGTTTGTGAACTTAAGTGGTTAAAAGGATTATTGGATTCTCTTGGTGTGGCACATTCTCAACCTATGCACTTGTATTGCGACAATCGGCAGCTTTACATATAGCCGCCAATCCTGTCTATCATGAGCGTACCAAGCATATTGAAGTGGACTGTCATTTTATTCGTAATGAGATACTTAATGGTAACATTCAAACAGATTACGTACGTAGTTCAATGCAGACCACTGATATATTCACGAAGGCGTTGGGAAATGATCAATTTAACTTTATTCTTCGCAAGTTGGGCATTCGAGATCCCCATGCTCCAACTTGAAGGGGGGTATTGGAAAGGCAGCTGTGATCTGCTTTTATTTAGGCCGTTTACTTAGGAAGTTTTGTGTGCACATCTTTTATTCCTTTTTATTGTGTGATCCTTGTATTTTTAGTAGTTTAGCCTAATTAGGAGTTTGTTTGATAGCTGTATCTTCTAGTATATATGTTACGTTTCTGGGGCAATGAAGAACAGAATTCTCATTCCAAAATTCCTCAGTTCTTTTACACATCCTCGGTATGCGGAGATGTATGGCTCCGTTCCGAAAGCGCAAGGGTGCTTTATTAGGGTTGGTAGTTTCTGACAGGGCTTAAACATGACATGGAGCTAGTGAAGTTGGGTCAGGCTATTCGCGCTCGAGTTAATTTCGTGTCAACCCGAAAGACACGACATTAGTCATCGCATCATGTTCGTGTCAAACCTGTTAGACACGAAATCGAACCCGTATACCCATTTACTTTAACAAGTTAGTATCGCAAAATCTCTGTGTGACCTTTTATATTGACATGATTAGTCAAAAGACTATCATGTGCATGGCATTCAGTATTAAAAATATAAATTAAGGGTATTCCATCAACTGTGATCATTCTGTTTAATTTGAATTCACGATGTTTTCTGTGCCTAATTATTGTCATTTGAAAACAGATTTTACGAGAAGTTGATCATATTTCGGATCAGGCTCATGTTCAAGAAACTTGCCACATTTGACTTTCAAGAATTTGTTTTAGTTAATTTCGTTCAAATAGTCCCAACTTGAAAAGGCCCAACCATTGAATTTATTGCTTTCGGAGAGCAAAGAAAGGACAAACTTATTGCTGCTTTGCATGACTGGACTGAAGTGTATTAGTGTTGTGTTTCATTTGCATCGTCATTCTCTTATATTTTTTTCCCTTGGTCACTTTTCTCCCTCATTGAATTTTCGAAAAGCCTCATCTGTTGGTGAGCCATGGAATCCGCAGAAATCTACGTGATGTTGATATTGATTCGAAAGGGGAGGGTGGGAGAGAGCAGAGCAAACTGCGACGAACATGGAAGTAAAAGCTAAACATTCTTCTGCACAGTGGACGAGTCTCTTGATGAAGAAGATGACTAAATATTTACTAAATTCACACGGTACATCCTTTTTTCGCCCTTAAAAAGCAAGATGATACACTGTAATGATAAGTATGAAAAGTTGGGCAATACACAGACGATGAAGTCCACAAAAAGCGCCGGCCACTTTCGAGCGACCAAGGTTTTCAAGTCAACCTGAAACGCTCCGAGTACAGCTAACAGAAGAAAAGATGGCTCAGCGGTTGTGGAGAGGGTCTGAAGCGTTCGGGACTCTCCTTTTGCTCGACAACCACTTGTCGGGCGGTGATGAGCGCCCGAACGGTGGCTGCGGATGACGACTCTTCTGTTGTTTCTCTGATCTCTCCTTCTCTCCTGGCGTCCCTGTGCTCATGCCATTGCTGTTCACGGCCTCTTCCCTCTCATCGCCTGACACCAGCAACGAAGAGAGAAGAAGCAAGACCAGAACTTTGTGCAGAACCTCCATTAACCAATGACCCACTCCTCTTCCTCTTGCACGAGGAGTATAAACACCAGACATAAAAGAAGAAGCAAGAATGAAGAGCAGCTCTCTCGCTTATACGGATGATGGGTCCAGCTCATAACAGAGCATCGCCATCACACAGAGGAGAGCAGAGAGAGAGAGAGAGAGAGCAGAGAAAGCTATGTGGCTTTTTGTTTGGCAATGTGAAGCGAGAATTAGAAGGAAGAAGCAAAATAAAGCCAATGAGTATTTGCCCTGCAAACAAGGGACACGTCCAACGAGGGCTCGCTTTTTGTTTCTGCCTTTTATTTTATATGGATTCTTTACGCTTCACGAGACCTTTCCTTTCATGATTCTTCTCTCTTTCTTGGAAAACATGCTCTCTTGCATTCATCAGTCCCCTGAAATGAGGGTCACTCTCTGCCTCCTCCCAAGCCAGGTCCGAGTCATGAGCATTATAGGATTGCATGTTTGGCTCTTGTGCCTCATTGTGCCTTTTCCCTTCGTTGTTGGGTAGCGTTTGTCGGCTTCGGCAGGCAGGTCAATCTTTCCCCTGAAAAGGCTTCCTTTTCTCAGGACAAGGAAAATCCATTGGCCCATGCCAGGAAAAAGATGGTGCGAAATCCTTTCAAGTACAATAATTCATCAGTTTTCAATTTTGGCTCTGTTTTGCTATACAGCTAAAATGGGACTGCTCATCGGGTCAAATCTAGCATGTTGGGGGGAGAACAAAATTTCAGAGAATCTTTCTTTCAAGTATAAAATACGCTGATAGTTCTCCTTTTTGGTTGGTGTACTTTTCAGCTTGTTATTTCGAGAAGATTTCCTAAGGTGCACCAAAATGTCCATTGCTGCATATGGTTTCTAATCTCTGGCCTCTGTAAATAGATATGCACGGCTTTTTTTCAATAGGTATTTTGGGCACTGAATCTTCATGTAACACTAGTGACATGAAACAAAGAGTATGGTCCACGATTATATCGTCCACCTCTCCTCTCAATCCATGAAAACATCAAATGGATCCTTCCGGCATATACTCCTTGGTGGTCTTATTAAGTCACTTAGAAGAAACAATCGATGAAGTCAATTAGAAGAAATAATGAACCATAAGAGTGATTCATGTCCCCGAGACTAATCCTTGCTGCCCACCAGAAATCACCATCCCACCCAAAAAGCTAATTACCAAGTAATCGCTTCTATGCACCATCTTCCTAGCGCGCTTTGATTCATTGGGGAGAAAAATCTGGTTCTTAAACTAGTTGCCCTCGAGTCTTTTATTGATGGACCAAGTTGTAGTCCCATAGTAACTTCCTTCAAGAAAAAAATTGTAGAGAGAAAACTTCACTTTTCCTTCCTCAACTTCACTCCTCTGTATTAGTAATGGCTCTCTGGCATAGCAATGTTCTAGCCCATCGAGCTTTCGTCCTTAAAAAGGACCTGAGCATTCACTGTTTTCCTCATGTATGGTGAAAAAAATTGAACATGGATTACCAGATCAGAATTAATGTAGTGACAAAGCCAAAACTTGACCACTGTCAATCTATGTACAGTGGGAATTCAATGTCTGGTAATCAGAAACAAATATCAACTAGTTTCCAATCCTCGTATCAGGCGTAGGACCAATTTAAATGCTCATGTTGGTATCCAGGATATCAACTTTGCCTTCTGATTGCAGCGACGTTGACACAGTAGCGAGCTCCTTTTCAGCATCTCGTGTTCTGCTTTATGTGCATTCCAGCTAAGTTAATCTGCAACTTTAAAGAGCTGATGGCAAATCCTGCAATCTTGAGACTCGTGCATTTCTCTATCCATTTGCTGAAAAATGTGATTTGATTTCATGACCAACGGCAATCCAACTCATCATTCTCCAACATCTTCAAAGTAACCAGCAGGAATCTCCGGTGGAGAGGCCATGCTTGCGACGCATTTGAACTGTGTTCCAAGGGGTAAAAGGAAGGTTCACTCCAAATCAACACTCATTTCATCTCAAAGTCGGTGCTTATAAATCATTGGAAAATAGAATTACCTTATGTTGTCTGTATTTTTCTCTCACAGCAGGCAAAGATCCACCCCTTCTACTCAGATACAAGTCATGCAGGATTTGCACACATTCCTTCAAATCTTTGGGACAGTATCCTGAGTATTGTTGCAGGGCTAAGCTCTGGAGGGAGAATGCAATCGTAAGTACATAATATAAAGACATCACACCCAAAAAAGCACATTAATGTCTACTTGCATCAAGGCCAAACTCTTACCCAAGGATGGGTCTTTGGTCGGATCATAAACCTGGCGAGAAATATCACCGAAGCAGCTACCAGAGAAGGTAAGAACTTCACGCAACTATAGTCGAGCAAACTTAGCTCGGCAAGGTAGTAGCCTAGGAACTCCAGTTGCAGATGATTATTCGTCTGCAGATAGCAGCATAAGCAAGAAAGGACTAAAGTTAGACAATGGAACACAACAACAAATGCCAATGCATAAAGATCTGGTCACATGAAAATATAATAGCGGATTGTACTTACTTTATGGCCTTCTTGAGCAATTCGATTAAACCTTCTGCATATCAATCATCAAAGGTAGAGTAACCATTAGCTATATGCATTAAAAAGAAAAAAAAAATCAGCCAAGGCAATGAAATTCCAAGAGTTCTTACCTTAAAAATGACTTTATTGTAGGATTGCCCATCTCAAACATCAGTGACTTGAGTATATCAGACTCCATCTTAACGACCTTCATATTAATGAAACGCTTGTCAGCTAAATTACACACTTATCCAACTATGATATGCAGATTCAAGAAAGGGAAGATGTGGAAATTGAAATGATAGGATAAGGGCATACCTCTTCCTTCGTGTAAGTGTTGTCGGTTATGTAACAGAAGTCTTCCACATGAGGAGGGCTGATCTCTTCATACTTTCTACTTACCACAAGAGAAGCAAAAACCCATTTTAGAAAACAGTCAGGACCCATTCACGTAACAGATGGGAAACTTCCAATAGACATGAATCATCATTTACAGGAGCTGAATCCTTACGAGGCAATGAGCATTGCGGAAACGCCCAGCAACTGGAGCTTCTGCCTGTTGAGAGCATTGAGGGACAGGAACCTATCAATGTAGGAGATGGAGAGGTAAAGGGTATCGGAGAGCAGCTTGTACTCTTCGGCGACTTCAATCAACCAATCCACCAATATCCCCCTCATGTTCGCCGTCACGTCCTTCTGAACCTTCTCGAGGTAATCGGGCAGAGGCCTTCTGTGAGGCTCCATCTGGAGATAATCACATCCATCACTCGAATTAGCCCCAGTTGATCGAATCATGCTCGATTGAGCATCATGCATTAATTTCACAGCTTCATCTCATGACCCCGACTCGACCCAAATGTTTCCGCTCATCAACCTCAATGAACACTCTCATATTGCCACCCAAAGCAAAGAAACAAACAAACCCATTTGACGAAATGAAGCGAAAAGCACTGACCTCCATCTTATGCAGATAGTCGTAGATGTCGGCCACGTAAGCTCGACACATCTGGGGATCGTCGGACGCGGGCTCGACGTCGATCTTCGGATCCCCATCCTCGGACCTCAGCGAGGGTCCGCTCAGGGAGGCGCCGCTGGCCGCGCTCTCCGCCGCGGGCTTCCTGACCACCCTCCCCCGAACCGCCTTGGGCTGCCGCCTGGGCTTGGGCTTCATGGCGCTCGGTCCCCCGCCGCCGCCCTGGGGGGCTGCGGCGGCGGCGACGACGTTCGACAGGTTGGGGAGCTCCCCGAGGACGACGCGCTTCTTGGTGGCCGGGGTCCGCTGCTCCTCGCCGCCCCCCCGCCGCCGTGGCCGCGGCGGCCCGCTTCTTGGACGCGCGGGTGATGCGCAAGCTCCGCCCCTGCTCCGCCATTAGCCGTCGGCAGTTGATGATGACGACGACGACGACTGAGCGCGCGCGCGAGCCTGCCTGGCTGCCTCCCTCCCCCTCAACCCTCCTCCTCAACGAGTGCCTCGTCTTGCGAATGGAGAGAGAAGAGAGAGGCGGGGGGGGGGGGAGTTTAGTAGAGAAGGGAAGGGGGGAAATTTTTTGACAGAGGAGCGCCATGTTTGAAAGCCATTTTCTTGGCGCTTCGCTCGCAGGTTTTGCCTTTTCCTTTTCCTTTTCTTTTTATTCCTTTTTGCGTGCGTGCGTGCGTGGGAGGTGGGAGGGGGAGGTTTTCGAAATGAAAACTGAAAACTGAAACCGAAGGCGCCTCGCTCGCTCGCTCGGGTTTGGGTTTTGGGGGGGTTTTTGGGTGGGAAGGGGGATGGGGTGCGGTGGCGTTTCGAAATTTTTGAAAACGGGTTTTGGCTTTGGTGGGGGGTTTTTTGCCGGATCTGGGGCAAGATTTGACCCGGCGAATTCGAGTTTTTTCGGTGAATTTGGGCGCGATGATTCCTCCTTCTTCTTCTTCTTTGTGTTTTCTTTTTTTTTTTTATGAAAGATGGAGTAAATAATTGGGAGGCCAGCTGTCGATTTCGGGAGGAGGAGGAATCGGATCCAATTTAAAGTCCCATTCACGAATTTATGACGCCTGCACCCGATTAAGGGGGGTCGTTAATAAGACTAATTGGATATTAACCCCTCCAAAAATGAGATTAATTCGGAGGGAGGGTAAACTTCCCGGATCGATTGTGTCTTAACGGCTTTTGGTTTGGGATAAGTTCATTGGAAGTCCTACAACTTGTCGAATCTGTGCAATCGAGTCTTTCCGTTGACTCTGTCCAATTTGGCCGATGGGGAAATGGTTACGTGGCTTTTTTTCTTATTATTTTCTCTATCCCGCGTGGCGATGACGTGGCCAAAATGACGCCATTTTGGTCCAGGTCTGATTTACAACATAAATTTCATTTGAATTCCATTAAAAATAAGGTAAATTTAAATAAATAAATTTCCTTTGTGTTCTTTGGCTTTTTATGCATCTTGATTTTCCTTCAACAGTTATTGGAATTCACGTGCACAATTTCTTCTTTATCTTCTCCACATTTTCATGATCTTCTCAACTTCCATGATTTCAATAAACTCCCCAAATAGTCGTGTGTCTTGCAATAACTTCCTTCTTTGGCGACCTGATTATATTCGTAATCATTCCCACTCTTAGCTCAAGTAGATCAAGGTACTCCTACTCTTACTCTGATCGAAGCAACCCCACCAAATCTCAGATCAAGACCAACTTGTAGACACTAAAAATCTCCACACGTCAATATATGAATACCTAATTCCCCACACGTCAATATATTATATGCATGTCATATTATCCCGATAATTTAAGATGCTAAAAGTTTCTTATGGCATCATATAAATAAAAATTGTTACTCTTGACTAACAATGCCAAGTCAAAATAATAGCAATTTAGGGTGCGAATGGTAACCATTCTGCTCCAGAAATAAAATTCTTGCCAGAAATTGATTTCTGGAGGAGAAATCTGTTTGGTAAAACATGACTAATTCTGCTCCAAAAATTGATTTCTGGAACAGAAATCTGTTTTGATTTGTTGAATTTTTTTGCACCTAAAAAAATTAAAATTTTACTCAAAGTGGGTGGCCACATGTATTATAAGCCATTCTGTAAAGTTTTGAAATTTTTGATTTTTTTTAATTTTTTTTGGGCACCTAAAAAAATTTAAATTTCACTCAAAGTGGGTGGCCACAGGTATTCTAAGCCATTTTGTGAAGTTTTGAATTTTTTTATTTTTTTATTTTTTTGGGCACCTCAAAAAATAAAAATTTTACTCAAAATGGGTGGCTACAGATATTCTAAGCCATTCTGTGAAGTTTTGAAATTTTTTATTTTTTTTATTTTTTTGGGCACCTCAAAAAATTTAAATTTCACTCAAAGTGGGTGGCCATAGGTATTTTAAGTCATTTTGTGAAGTTTTGAAAATTTTTATTTTTTTTTTTTTTTTGGCACCTCAAAAAATTTAAATTTCACTAAAAGTAGGTGGCCACAGGTATTTTAAGCCATTTTGTGAAGTTTTGAAATTTTTGATTTTTTTTTGGCACCTCAAAAAATTTAAATTTCACTCAAAGTGGGTGGCCACATGTGTTTTAAGCTATTCTGTGAAGTTTTGAAATTTTTGATTTTTTTGTTATTTAAAAAAAAATTCACCAAATTTCATATTTTCCCGAAATCTGACTTTTTTTTATTTTCTGGAAATTTTTATGAATTTTTCTAGAATTTTTCAATTTTTATGCATTTTCTGAAAAAAAAAATTTGTGAGAAAATAGGGAAAATGCATTCGGAATCAGAAGCTACAAAAAGTAGCTTCTTTTTCTTGCCAAAAACTCATTCCGGAATCAAAAATGCATTCTGGAATCAAGTGCATTCTGGAATCAAGTATTTTTAACAAACGCATTTTTATTTCAGAATGCAAAAATCGCTCCAGAATGCATTCCGGAAATTTTTTAACAAACGCCATTCTGTTCCGAAATGCATTCCGGAATAGAATTTTTATTCCGGAATTCATTTCATGCGCACCCTTACTCGATATATTCTCTTGTAAGAAAACTCATCATACGAAAGCAAAATGATAGTCTACCGATATTCTTTGAATCTATTGCTAATATGGATTTGTGTGAATGTCACGCTTTTGTTATGCATCTGTCTAATTTCCATCGGATCAAGCTTTAAAGCCTTTAGAGATTTCGAGAATTCAAGCTTTTCCATCTGTTTGATTCGAGCTCAGAAGGGAAAGCACTCAAATTGATGTTTCTGCGAAGGAAGGAATTAGAGCCTCTTGAGATTCAAGTTCAAAAAGAATAATATATTATACTCACTTCTCTTATATTAACAGAATTTGGCACCAACTTTCTTGTCCGAAATTTTAGACTTGCAATTTACTTATGTACAATCATTGTACTTATCAAGTCGAAATTAGCCTAGTTAAGGTCAAGATCAAGGTTGAACTTAATATAACCCGACTCTTCCATTTTGAGGAAAAATAGCCCAAAAGATTCTAAACCTATCGTACGACTGTCAACTCAATCATAAACGTTTTAATGAGATTAGCAAATATCACCTGGAGGGGGGTAAATAGGTGATTTGAGTACTATTTGATCAATTTTAATGTGAAAGTAATTGAACTCGGGTAAAGTCTAAACAATGTTCAGATTTTGATCAATCTTTGAATGGCAAACAGATAAATGTGCAATTAAATAAATAAAAGGAGTTTTAGGGAAGAGAAAATTTGCACACAAATGTATAGTGGTTCAACTTAGATCAAGCCTACGTCCACTCTCCCACGATGATAGTCTACTGGCTGGATTTTACTAGATGATCAATCAAGAGATTACAAGTTCTGAGTGATAACTTTTCTGTGAAGAATGGATCACTCTATCTCACTCGGTCACTCTTACAACAAGTATCTCAATATCACAGATATTTAGCTCAAGATGGACAAGTTATATTGGTCGAAGTATGCTCAGAATTTGGAATGGATGATTCTGGTTATTGTCTCTCTACTTCTGCTCCTTGACAATTTGTCTCCTTTTATACTCATCTACTTCCATACTAGCCATTGGACAGTCTTCAGAGGATTATCTTCCAATCTTCACCTTGGACAGATTTGTATAAAAGGGATTGAGTAGGCGTTGAGTGACACAGTCTGAATCTCGCTGAATCTGATCGCCCATATAATCAGAACTTCAGTTTCCATAAGCAGAGCTTCTTCATTTGGAAATAAACTTGTAGTGTGATTGATTGTCAATCAATCAAGGATATTTCAAGATGTAAATATTCTATGCAAAATAGCATTTTAAGATCGAATCAATCAAAACTCTCCAATGTTGAAATCCAAGCCAGCTTACTAGCCGTTGTTCTGAGTTTGCGATAACATCCGGATAAAGTTTTGATCATTATTTCGCATTTCAGAACTTGAGTCAGAATGGTTTGTTCTTTAATCTCTGAATCTTTTGTTTCCAACTGAAATTCTTCAACTGTCGTATACAAAGTCTGGACTTTGTCTTTTGCTATGTAGAACTTAAACTTTTCCTTCTAATCCTTGTAAAGTCTAGACTTCCAGAAAATGACTTCCTGGACTTAGAAATTCTTCAAAAGTATTTGTTAAACTTATAGTAACTCTTGGATAGTTTTGTCAACTTCAAAATATATTAAGAGGTTTTCTCAACACTTTTCAATGTGGCCAATACAGTTCTAAATCTTTTGACATTTTCCAATGAAGTTTTTTTAGGTAAGGTTTCCAATGTAGTTTATCTGGCTAATTTGATAGAAAAAAATTACTGAAATGGACAATTTTTGCAATTTTCATTTTTGAATTTTTCCTGTTTTTTTTTCATTGTTTTTCCTATTCATCTTCTTCCCTCTCGCCCCTCTCGCCAACCACAAGGGAGGGCCGCGATTTCCAGCCAAATTTTAGGAAAATTGCAAAAATCGCCCAAATCACCGCTGACTATGCCGAGTAGAGCGACCGGCATTAATTAGACCACTACGTCAGCAAGTTCCAACCAAAATTCTCTAGATGAACTGTATTGGAAAATTCTCAAAAGGTTTAGGACTATATTGGCCAAATTTGGAAAGTTTAGAACCGAATTGGCAATCATACAGGACTTTTTGCACAATTCTTCCTACAGTCTAATCCTTCTTCTTGACATAGGCCTTAACTAAAATTTAATCCTCATACATTCGGGCTGTAAATTTACACCATGAATGCTCATGCATCCCGTAATCTTTGTATGAACACATTAAGTGTAAAAGGACGTTCTTAGTTCTCTGATCAATGCTCTCAAGGTTCGTGAAATCTTTGTATCGACACATCCCATATGAGAGTTCAACTGGCGTATAAAGGCATCATTTTGGTATCTTTTACATGAAATTGATGACACAATCACGGGCCTTGAATAAAGCATTGGTAAACTACTAAACTTTCCATGCATTGGTGAGAGAATCTGCTCGATTTACATGAAATTCTGATCTCGTGCTATGACGGCCGGTGTTGATGACAGCAATTGATCAGACAAACAGGGTTCGATCTAAACTTGTTCATGGTTCTGGATGGCCGAACTGGGTTCCCTTCCTGCAGAATTGAAGTGCAGTTTCATACTACCAAGTTTAGCTTGTGCTCAAAAAGGATTATTGGGTTTTGTCCGTGATCAAAGAGCTTCAAGAGTTTAGTTACAGCATGCTTTAGCCCCAACACACAATTTAGCCTAGAGTTATCCAACAAATTCACAACTTTTTGAGATCGTAAATTGAATTTTAGCAGGATATTCTCACAGCGGTTGATTAAGGCAAAGGCTAATGACCCGAGGCCTTGTTTGGTTCATCATGGACTTAGTTTACACAATAGAAATGATAATCCTATTACTCGGTATTCTCGCGTTTGGGTTAAACTTTACATGTGAACACCTAAAACATGAAAGTTCTACTACTAAGATTTTCATTTCTCGATCGAGCAATCCAATCTAAGGTGAACCAACTGAGACATTACTTTTATCCTAGCCGTTTTCTTTCTTAAAGAGGCTTTCTCTTAGGATAAAGCCAAAGTCGAATGAACACAGATTCAGAATAAGTCAATCTTTTGCGATACCTGCTGGACAAAATCCATTGGTCCAGGAAGAGTAAGCTGCATCGACAAGTTGTCCGAACTCAGCATGATCGGTGCTGCTGTGATGCTCTATGGCATTTGTGGGGCTCATGCCATGATCAAGATTTTCAATTTGCTCGTGAGGTGCTGAAACTGGTGGTAACACTCCCAGTCCTGGTTGCCATTGATCTCTGTTGATGAAAGAGTGAACTGAGAATCTGTTCCTTATATAGCAATTCACATATAATGTGGCTTTTATAAAACATATCGTCTGCGTGAAAAGTTTTTCTTTCCCCTACAAGATGTTTCTGATAATGACATATATCTCTTTTCCCATCGTATAACTATGCAGCATACATATATATACATTGATCATTGCTTGTAAAAAGAGAATAATATATTAATAACCCATGTTAATTGTTCAAAAACTATTTTTCGGAAGCATCCTACCTTGAGGGAAGTAGCACATATGAGCCCAAGGCATCCAGGATCTGCAACTGAGAGTCTTCTTGTGGAAGCAAATCTAACATGATTAAATTTCTCGCGACAAAACCATTATCCACACAAGCAGCTAGATGTAAATGTACCTTTTAACATTAGCAAAAGAGATTGCTGTCACTCCATAAAACATTCATTTTGGCAACTTTCTAGACAGTTTTCACTCCTTAAAAGTTGCACCTAATGAACTGAGATGTTATTGTTTGAAATTCTTCCATACATGATACGGGAAATAGTGACCAATTTAGTCTAGACGATAAAGTAAATCTGCGTATAATCTGGTATCATATTAATGGAAGAGCTGGACACCCGTGATAGCGTACTAATAGTTGCGAACTGCAGTGAATTGAAAGCTTTAATTTCACAATAAAATCGTTACACATCTATTGAGAGGATTGGGATTTCTGGGAATAGCATATTGGCATGTATTTCAGAATATATACACATATACCTGGGAACTTGTGGGTCGGCACTTTTCCTCCAAAATTTGCTGTTGCATAAGAATATTGCTTAGAGCATCAGGTGAATTCGCATAAAAGTACACTCGAGGTACGAAATGATTGTTAAAAGAAAAAAAAAAAATTTTACCTTCCGAATCTGGACAAGTCGCAAGGCTTCCTCGAGGATCTGCTCCTGGTACTCGGCATCACTCGCAGTGGTGATTGCTGAAGGATTACCTTCATATATTCTACAGCGATAGTCATTAATTAAACCAGGTTAACATTACCAAAACATGGATTGTGACTAATTAATTCAATGGCCTTCTCAAGTCAACCGTTCAAATTGGATCAAGAAACTGGATCGATATTTGATCATGCCTGAGTGGTTTCTCCAGCTCCTCCAGATGGTACATGCATTTCTGGACCTCCTGATGTGCATCCTGCAACATTCACATATACACACCAAAGCTATTAGAAATGTAGAGAAGCTTTAGCTAAGAAGCTTCCCATTCATTTTCCTAAAAGAAAATCTTGTTCTAGTCATGAAGTACCTTGAGTTGAGACTCACTACTCACAGGGCTGCTTCATAGGAAAGCAATCACATGTCAGAACCACAACACACTTAGTAGTGGTGAACTGTTTCTGAAGACACGTGACAATTGGGATCAAAAGCAAGACATTCAATTTTGGACCATGAACCTCTCGTACTGAAAAGGTTGATTTTCGTAATTGCAAAACCAGAATGATAAGCCGCACAACCCTTGTGGACATTCTCGATGTGCGATTTTGTCTAGTAAGCTTAATTAGCAAAAAATTAGACGAAAATTCATGTCATGCAAGAGGATTTTACTAAACAATTCCGAGAGAACCTGGCCACTTGATGGGTTTCCTTGGCTTCGTCCTTCAGTTTACAAATAATTCTTTGTAGAAACTGCAAAAGGAACTTCCAAATTAATGTTCAGCATCAAAATCAACTTTCCATATTTTTCTGTAAAATCTATTTCTGGGGGAGAGCTTACCTCTTGATTATGGAGCCTTCTTCGGTGGCGGTAAGCAAATGTCAAACAAGACACTACGTGAGCATCAACCCCTTCAGATGAATATTAACATAGAAATCATCAAAGAAAAAAAAAATCTACTTACCTACCTCGCTCATGATCATGAAGATCCACGTACCGTCCAAAAACCTCTTCAACGCTTCATCGGGAGAACAAGTACAACACCAATTAGTTGACAATGATCGATACGTTTGCGCATTTCAAGCATTTCGAAAGAGAGAACTGTAATTAAGAAGATAAAGAGCGTCGTTGCTTAGTCGTCTTAATTAAGCAGACCTTTTATCTCCGGAGAAGAAACTGAGTCTCCCAGAAGGAGAGAACATGATGAGGGCTACATCAACATCACAAAGAACGGAGAGCTCGTAAGCTTTCTTGATCAGCCCGCTCCTTCTTTTCGAGAAGGTCACTTGTCTGTTTGTTGTGTTCTCTATTCTCTTGATCTGAAGCGTCACTCTCCCCATCACTGCCTCTCTCTTTCTCTCCCTCTCTCCCTCCCCGGTGATCGTGTTTTGTATACTCTTTCATCAAATTTAAAGAACATAGGATGATACAGTCATTTGAATGTATTGCAACGGCTTTGAACGGACGGAAAGAAAGTCGTGAAGTTTAGGGTTAAGAGGAAAAAGTGCAAGAATGGTGACGACCAGTATATACGACGTGTATTGTCAGTATCAGGCTGCGTGCAGAACATGACGAAGGGGAAATGAGAGAGAGAGAGAGAGAGAGAGAGAGAGAGAGAGAGAGAGAGATGGCGGTGCTTGGTGGACTTGCGATCTTTAAAAAAAAGACTAAGGTAAATAATTTGCAAAATTCTACCCTGGCAATTAATAATAACTTATAATTGTTTGCAAATTTACATTTTTATCCTAACTTACCAATTTTTATTTGCTGAAGTAATTCCAAATTTGTTAAATTTTATATGACTAGAGGATTTACCGACTTTTGCTATATTGAATTACTCAACAGTTTCGGGTTACGAATTCTAATTTAAGCTACTTACCAATTTTAATTATTATTTCTGATTAGCCATCTTTTCTATTGATCTATCAAAGTCTGTTAGCCTTACTTAGCAAACCTCTACATGTACCGTGTATCAAAGTTTTTTTTAAAGAGATTATTAACCTAAACTATTATAACTCACAAACTTTTCTCCCATCAAATTACCATATAATATTGAGTAATGCATTCTGATTTGAGTTCTTACCAATACTTATATGTTTTTAAAATGCGCCAACTTTGCTTATTGTTCTTAAAATTTTATTTTTCTCTTTCTTAGTAATGCCTTAAATTTACAAACTTTTTGATACAAATTACCAACCTTAATTAGAACAATTTACGAACTTTTCTTTGACTAAATTACCATACACTTTTAGGTTACCAACTCGTGTTTAAGCTACTAAATATTCGGCAATTAAAGTTAGCCAAAACTAAGAGATAAAAAAAATTGGTAAATTGAAATGCAAAATTAGTTGGTTACTTGATCAGAGAAATGTCGATAATCGCTCTAACTGAGGTTGGTAATTTTTACAAAGAGTTCATAAATATAAGAAGTTGGTAAGTGAGGCAAATAAAGATAGTCACTTAATTGAAAAGTTAGTGAATTATAAAGAAAATAATAACAAGTTGGTACGTAACTCAAATTAGAGTTGGTAACCCAAAACTAATTGACCGGAGAAAAGTTTGTAAGAACACAAAAAAATTAGATAATTTCATATTATAGTTGGTAAATCTAAGCTGTTAGTAAAAAAGAAAGATAAATAAAATTAGATAAATGGTAAGAGAACTTATTTTAGTTAGAGATAAGATAAGTAGACATTATAAAAGACTGAAAAATATTGGGAAAAGTGTCAAAAAAATTTCTAAACCTTTTGCATTGGTGCCAATTTAGTCCTAAACCTTTTGCATTTGTGCCAATTTAGTCCTAAACATTTTTTTTTTGCCAATTCAGTCCTAAACCTTTTGTATTGGTGTCAATTCAATCCTAAACCTTATATTTTTGTGCCAATTCAGTCCTTCCGGTCAATTTTGCCCGGATTTTGCTAACATGGACGACCAGCCATCAGTGTTGATGTGGACAACTTTTAATAATATTTAAATTTTTTTGAATTTTTTTTCTTTTCTTTTTCTTTGTTTTTCCTCCCCTCCCTCCTTCCTCCAGCCGGTCGCAGGACCGGCGACCGGCTTGAGGCTAGAGGCTGACGAGGCTCGCCCTTGCCAAATGGCTGTGAGGGTGGTCTCGCGCTGGCGGGCGAGGCTGGTCCGACGATCAGCTAGAGGCCAGAGGCCGACAAGGCTCGCCCTCTCCGAATGGCCGCGAAGGCGGCCTCGCGCTGGGCGGGCAAGGCTCGAGCCTCTCTAGAGGCTAAGCGAGGCCCAACCTCTCTAGATCCGATGAGGTTGGGCCTCACCCCGGCGAGGGCGAGCCTCGCCATGTCTAGGCGAGGCCTGACCTCGCCAACGGCTGGGCGAGGCACGACCTCGCCTAGCCATGGCGAGGCTCGCCTTTGTCGTCACTGGTGAAGGCAAGCCTTGCCAGTGGCCGGTCGCCGATCTGGCGACCGGCTGGAGGAAGGAGGGAGGGGAGGGGAAAAAAAAAGAAAAGAAAAAAAAGAAAAAATATATTTTAAAAAAATTAAAATATTATTAAAAGTTGTCTACGTTAGCGCCGATGATCAACCGGCGCTACGTCAGCAAAATCCGACCAAAATTGATCGGAAGGATTGAATTGGCATAAAAACAAAAGGTTTAAGACTGAATTGGCACAAATAAAAGGTTTAGGACTAAATCGGCACCAATGCCAAAGGTTTAGGACTGAATTGACACCAAAAAAAGATTTATGACTAAATTAGCACTAAGACCAAAGGTTTAGGACTTTTTTGACACTTTTCCCAAAAAATATTAGTAACTAACTAAAGTCTGAGTTGGTAGCGCAAAATTACTTGGCAACTTAATAAGAGAAAACTTGATAATCACTGAGGTTGGCAATTTCTAAAAAGAGAGCAAAGCAACAAAGGTGGTAACTCAATAAAAAAATTGGTGAATTAAAAAATGGGTTAATAATTACTAATTTTAAATGAGAGTTGGTAACTCAAAATTAGTTGGTATTTTAATTGGAGAATAGTGATATGTCACTCAAATCAAGTTCGGTAATTTCATATAATAGTTGATAAATTTAAGGTGTCGGTAAGGAGATAAATAAAAGTTTGCAAATGATAAGAAAAGTTTTTATATGCCAGAGATAAGAAAAGTTGATAACTTTGAAAAACTATATAAACTTCGGTCACTAACTTTGAATAAAAGTTGGTAATGCAAAACTTGTTAGAAACTTAATTGAATAACAATCAATAATCACTCTAATGAAAATCGATAATTTTAAAATATAGTTGTGAACTTAATGGTGGGTAAGCCTAGCGGATAAAAATTGGTAAAAAGACGTTGATAACCAACTCACATGACACTTGGTAAACCAAAACTAGTTCATAACTTCATGGGAGAAAAGTTAGTTAGTCACATAAATAACTCAGCTAAAAGTTGGCATCCTTAGTAATTTAATTAAAAAAAGTTGGTAAGTCACTTAGACGAAGATTGATAAATTCATATAGGAAGAGATAAATTTAAGGCATTGGTACAAAGGAAAGTAAAGTTAGTAAGAGATAAAAAAAATTGATAATGTGTAAACTGTCAAAAAAAGAGTTAAATTTATAAAAGAATTAATAAATTTTCTATAAGTTACCAGGAAATCATGTGTTCAGTATTCTTTTTTGCCAACATTTTTAGACATTTATCAACTCTTTCCGATACATATTAGCATGGATTTTTGTTAATGAAACAATAGAAACATCCCTTTTAACTTATCCCCTTAAATGAAAGACACATAAGTATGTAAATTTCAAAATCAAGGATGTAATAGCCTTTTTTTTTATTGTTTCAGCTTCCATATTGAATATTAACCTTGCTACGCAACTCCTGTCGTGCCATCGTCCACAAAAAAAAAAAAAAAACTCCTGTCATGCTTACACAAAGTTGTCGAACCACTTACATATGCACACACATGCACACACAGAAATACACAAAAGGGCAGCGTCACCCCCTTGAAAAAAGACAACCTAGCTCTCATCGAGGCTCACGACACTAGCCTAGCAAAAGGCAAGGGCCTCGCGACCCTTACGGTGATGGCAACAAGGGTTCAATGACCTTTGCTAGTGGTTCCAAGGGGCAGCAATGGCGCCCCTCTCTCTCCCTCCTACCTCTAAATTGGAACCACATTATCAGCTCGTCTCTTAACAACTCCTCACCCAGTTAGATTGGCTTAGGGCCTACACATCCTTATCACATATATCCTAAAGGGAGGTTCTACTCTGATTTCATTTATAACAATCAGGCCGGGTTTGTCCAGCTCAAAACCTCCCAAATGGACTATTGAAGATGATAGCCATTTGGACGACTTCTTAAATTTTCTTCGGCGACATCTTAAACCTTCGAGATATACACGTTGCCTTGTACTTTCCCACCAGAAGGTCTGTTTCTTTTCCCTCTTGCGTTGGCAGGGAGGTTGGAATAAATCAATACCCAGTCTTGCTTGTAAGATTTTCTTTCTTTTTTAGATAAAAAGAAGAGTTTTTACATAGCACACACTTGGTATAATAAGCTGATGATACAAGTTGATGATTTTGCTAGGTAAGGGCATTACCAATCAAAACATGTGCACAAACAGGGAAAAGTGCACCATAAGTCACAAATGATCAAATGCGATAAGTTCTAAACCTTTCGAATGGTTCAAACAAATCTTAAACTTTTCATGAAAAGTACAATTAGGTTCTTTCAATGATTAGTACCTAAAATCATCCACACGTCACTCCAAAAAATGCTCAAGTAGCATCCTTAAATCACACTTTTCACCATAAGTTTTAGTGTTTAATTGACTCAATTGAAAGTCAAGGACGCAATTGTACATTATGGTAAAGTAGTTGCACTTGATTAAATAAGTTTAAAATGTTTGGTACTAATTGCATTTTGTACATAAGGTCTGGAAGTTGGTGCGATTTTCAAGTGTGTGCAAGTAAAAAATGAATCGATCGAGGCTATATATGTACCTAATATAAATTGTGAGAAAAAGAAAATCCTTCTTTTGTGAACTTGGCATTAATTAGTTTCACGTAGTTTATTCATTTCCGAGGAAAATTTTTCTTTGGAAAACCCTTTTTTTTGGCCGGAAAACTAGCTAAAGAAACCTAGATTCAGTCTTTCCACGGAATGACGTTGTTGCTGCATGCGACAGCAATCGATGTGTCTTGGTGAATCTCATCTGGGAAAAAAGATTAATGAATTCAATGTGCTTGTCGAAAAGCGGCAGAGAAGAAGAAGAAGAAGAAGACGACGTAACGATCATTTAGGGATGCAGAAATTGAGGGGAGTGGGGTTGGACACGAGCTTGACGAAGAAGATAGCCCCCAGCCCCCACCCCCGCGTCCACTGCCACCTCGTCTGCACTCTCTCGACGTGTCTGCTCTTCCTCGGTTTCTACTGTCCACCATTCGTGTCGCTGGCATGTCGATCCCGTCGATACGACAACGATGGCAAAGGGACGTGGTTGGTCGAGCCAGACATCATCAGTTGGTCCAGCTGTGCTTGCCTCGGGCTTAGGAGGAGGGATTCTGTCCATGCCCCTCGGGTAGAAGAAGTTCTGTATAAGTGTCAAGCCTCCATCGTCGGAGTTTCGCCATTCTTTAAGGGTTGATCTTGCCCGCTTTCATCGGGCGGGAGAAAATCTAAAGAGATGACAATATACATGTCATTGGAGTATTAGTAGGTGTGTGTGGCATCGTTGCATGTGAAAATTCATATGATTAATCATATCTGTAACCACGATTTTGAAGGGCTGAGATTCATTTTCAGCCTATTTTTTCCCTTGTTTGCTGGGGGAAAATAGTCTAAAAAGTTCTAAACACAACACTTTTGCCAATTGAGTCATAAACCTTTTACTTTTGCCAATTGAGTTCTAAATCTTTTCACATTTTGCCAATTCAGTCCATCCAGCCAATTTTGATCGGAAATCGCTGACGTGGATGCCGGCCGTCCCGCGTAGCGCGGCCGACGTTAACGTAAATAATTTTAATAATTTAAAAAATTATTTATTTATTTTTTTTTTCCTTTTTTTTTCTTCCCTTCTTTCTCTGGCCGACGAGGTTGGCCTTGCCACTCGCCCGCCTTGTTAGGCGAGGTCGGCCTCGTTAGTGGCTGGGCGAGGTTGACCTCGCCCTCGCAAGTGGCTAGCAGGGGCGAGCTTCACCAGAGGCCAACGAGAAAGAATGGAAGAAAAAAAGGAAAACGAAAAGAAAAAAATAATTAACTAATTAAAATAATATTAAAATTGTCTACATCAGCGCTGACCGAATTACATAGGATAGCCGATGTTTACGTCAACGATTGCAGGCAAAAATTGGCGGGATGGACTTAATTGGTAAAGTGTAAAAAGATTTATGACTCAATTGTAATAATTAAAAGATTTATGACTGAATAGGTAAAAGTGCAATAGGTTTACGACGTTTTCGACGATTTTCCCATTTGCTAGGCTACATATTTGGACCGTACCATGAGTTTGTGACACTTATACTTTGCGAAGCAATCGGAGATCATTAAGTAGTTTGCGAATCTACCCTCTCGCTTTTCATGCGATTGGTGGACCTCATCCATTTAAGGGATAAAAAAGATTGAAATTGGAAAAATGGTTGTACAAATTCCTGAGTATCCACGGAGCAAACAGGAGCTAGTGAAACAAAACTATGGATCCCATCTGCAAATTATTCGTTGAATATTCAGGACTCACATCCTGGGCAATACCAGCTATTCATATGGGGTTTTAACTGGTGTATTCATATCTTCCCACTACACCAGAAACTGAGGGTCCAGTAACACATCAATTTACTTGGCCCAAGACGAATCGATGAAGGAAAGCTCAAAAAGCCTCGTCCTCTTTAAGAAAAAGTTGGGGTTAGCGTCGTATAAAATTACTTTTTCTTGGCAGCCCCAGACGTCACTGTTCTAATGACAAGTCAAAACCATGACAGCAATGGCGAAAGGAGACCAAAAGAAGGAGCGTACGTTGTCGAATACGAACGAAAGTTAGGAACGTCCACCTTTTGACCGGGATTTATCGATGGGAGTTGAAAAGGAGCTGGAAAAGAAGACAAAAAGCTCCTGCATTTTTCAATCCACGTTTGGATTTCGACTTGGATGACATAACTAAACTTAATTAGACTTTGAATTAGGCGTCGGAACCGGAGATCGATATCCCTACTCTTATTTCATTTCACTGAATAGTTGTTGGAATCGCACCTTATTCGATTCCGCTTATTGTGTGAAGTTTCCTTTCCTTATGGTACCGCCGTGAAACCTCGTCGGGAAAGGAGATTTCACGAACTTGGGTTGGATGCAAAATGAGCATTTTTGCGATTTGGAATCAGAGCTTTTTACCCAAGAGTAATCGTACCGAGCACTAACCAGCTCGATAGCTGGCCAAGCGGTACAAGGTTTACTCCGAAGTGGTTTGGAAGTATCTTGATCTCAAGTTCGCAGCGCTCGGATTAGGGTACCTCTCTGGCCTTGTATGCATTTGCACCACACCGTGATGGAATTGTGACGATGGGCTCCTCCTTGTAAGCAATACCTTTAATGCAATTGGATGTTTCGTAGGAGATGTGAAATTCTTAAAGTGACGTTTAAGCGAATTGTTGACCCTAATCTCCTATTCTCGTCCTTTTACCGATAAAAAAAAAAACCACGCCTACACCTTAAAGAAAGGAATTTTAATTAATAAAAAAAACAGCTATTGACATCACAAAAGTAATCATGTTGTTAGTATGATCCCAACATGGGCATCGTCGCAACTAAACAATTCCCTCAGCTTGCAAAGAAAAATCATCGGAGACAGCTTAGCCAAAATAACTGATACCTAACATTCAAGAAACTACCCCCGGAATGACCCGCCAAACACCAAGAACAACGGTTAGTTGAAGTCCTAAACAATGGAAACGCACCACAAACTAACTCATTGCCACCGTCAAATCTACTAGTCTTTCCTTTCTCTCGAGCAGCCCCTCGTTCAGTAGACCAGTAGCTATCCCCTTCCCTGCTCCTCTTCTCCGCGCCTCTCTCCCCCTCTGTTCTCGACCGGAGAACTCGCCATGTACAGATCCGTCTCCGCTCTTGCGAGCGGCGCCCACTATTCTTCGCCGTCGCAGCGGTGGCAGGAGGCCTGGGCTCGGTTGCTAGCTCCTTTGACTCTTTGGCTATGTGGCATGTAAATTTTAGATTTTCACGGCAATGCAAAATCTCGGCGAACGCCTTTTGATTGAATCGAGAGTCACCTTCTTGTTCTTGCAGTTTCGGTGAGCCTGAGGTACGGGTACTATGGGGACTCTCGTATGGTGATTGGCCCGAGCTCGTCGAGGCTGATCAAGGCGAGCTCGTTGTTCGTGGACCGGGTGGAAGTGCGGGATGAAGATAGGAAAGGGGTCAGTGTCTATGGCTTCTCTGAGAAGCCTCAGTTGATCTACGAGACGAACTGGACGGTGTCGAATTATCTGATCGTGGGCTCTTACAATCGAAAGGTAGAATCAAGAATTCATCAGACTCTGTTATTGCAGCTTTATGTTCATGGTGATTACAGGACAGAAACGACGATGTTGACTTGAATCTGTGAGATTTAGATGGTTCCAATTCTGCGGTGTAGGGATTCAACCTGTGGTTGAATAGAGGTTCGAAAATCCGAATGCGATGGGAAGCTCAGACTAGCCACTTAGATCAACTGCAAGTCGCTATGATTAAAGGTAAGTCATCACTTGCAATAGGAATGTAAGGGAAAAATAGCCCTGTAATCTTGGATTGTTTACTCAGGCTAGTAATCTCAATTTTTGCAGGAGAGCTTAAGTACGAAATGTTGCAGCCGAGTTTTGCGAGTTCCCCTGATGCTGCGGCGCTCAAAGAACCAATTAACTGTAAGACTTTATAGCAACAGTTTCCTGTTATAACACCACAAGTTTTTTTTTCACAGAAATACTAGGTCTTGCCCGGATCTTTTTTGTTCATCTTCAGACGTAGGACTTTTTAGCTGTGCAGAGAATAGTTTTACCAGGTTCTTTCCACACATTAGCAGCAATAGTGCATTATATCTTGTAATAGATCTAGATTAATCTCAATATGAACCAAAAGATCTTCCATATTGAACGGATTTCAGGGGGCTCATGATGTTCCCAGTCGATGTAATACTAATTTTCTTGCAGCTTTGAGTGATCTTGTCTGTGGAAGTAGATAAATTGGCAGAGCATTCACACAAGTGATATAGACACAGTTTGAGATAAACAGTACTGTGAATGGATCGATTTTGCTTTGTTTCAGTTAAAGAAGCCGAGTACTTTATTGAAGACGACGACAAATACTATGTAAGAGTCATAAATGCCAATCCTAGGAGCATCATCATGTCGATGAGCGTGAACGTTTCATCGAAGATATATGACATAGCAAAGGCAAAGATCATGTGCTCGACATTGAAGGGGTCCTGTCAGCTGAAGCTCCTCTTCCCTAATACTCAGTACGTGGTGGTAACCACACCAAGCAATGTAATTTCTTATCCCCTGGGTTGTTTTGTAAACTCAATGGAACCTCCGAAGTTTTAACTTCTGGTGGTCACAATAACTTCAGGGTGACCTTGGCGATTGGTATATCGAGCTCTCTTTTGTGGCTCGTGTTGTGACTTACATTGCAATTCTAGGTACGGAAGTCAAGAAATCTCCCATGAGAACATGCCCTTTTCGTTCATTACTAGTGACTGAGATTCAGCCTAACAATTTCTAAATTTGCAGGATTCATTGTGATTGTCATTTATCTAATACTGAAGTACCTTGGAGTTTGTGATGTTGAGAATGAGGTCTATGTAGACGACACCCCCACAGTTCCTGTTCGGGAAGTGACGGAGACTGCTCCTATAATGCCGGAGAAATCAAGGAGGCCCACATATGGAACCAATGAGGAGGAGGAGGAGGATGGGGGATCATCTAGTAGCTCTTCAGAGGATTTATATGATGCGAAATTATGCGTGATCTGCTATGACGAGCAAAGGAATTGCTTCTTTGTCCCTTGTGGGCACTGTGCTACTTGTTATGACTGTGCTCAAAGGTATTCGTTTGACGATCATGTACTATGTAATATATGTGTTACGAGTAAAAATCATTCACACAAGAACATTTTTTGCAGGATCATGGAGGGGGAGAGTAAGGTATGTCCGATTTGCCGGAGGCTTATTCATAAAGTCAGGAGATTGTTTAGCCCATAAATAGAAATTCGACTCTGTAGATTGCGTGATTATCTATAGGAAGAAGAAATTTACAGTCCAGTGAGAGAGAGGGTCATTTGTTTTTGTAACCCGAGTCCTCTGTCTGACTTCTCAATTTTCTAATCCGATTCTTCATTGCCATTCAACTTGCTGGATCAAGTTGGCAGGAATTTTGAGAGGATTTATAACTAAACTATTGTTACCAGCATGAATTGTGAATCGTTCAGAGATAGAATTCAACCGAGAAAGGATCGGTGCAATTGTATACTTGAGAAGTGTCTCATGTCATTCTGTATCTATTTGTGTCGGTGTGAAGTCCAGAATTTATATGGTGATGACAACAAGCATCCGGCAGTCATAAAAACTGGTTTGAGAATCTGAGTTTCGAGCTCGCTTTTGACAATAACTACATGTCTCAAAAGTGGCAGAAAGTTGATCTCCACGAAAGTTGTATGAACTGTGGAAGAGTTTATTAGAATGTGCACGCTTCTACATAATTCTCCAATCGCCACTGACACAGTAGGGAACTCATTTCATTAAGACAAATTCAATGTCTCAGAAAGATAAAAGCACAGGAGCAAGTCTCTTACATCGAAAAATACACAAAAGGTCTAGCCACCATTTTGATTCGCAGTTTCGAGACTCCTGCGTTGCCAGCTTTTAATGCAACCGATGCACTTAGATTCAAATAGGAGAAGTACCCAAGAAGCAAGGCATTTACAGAATGAGTTGTCCAAATTGTTCAAGCTGTGATGTAGATATGCGCATACGTTGAAAGCAAAATGACAGACCGGGGCACGGAAACACAGCATCAAGAGAACCCTACAAAATACAAGAATGAAATGGCATATAAAGACAGTACATCTGCTGTCTCTGCATAGTCCTCAGGACAACTGAAAAAGGAGGACATACAGAACAAGACACCTTAATCAGACCAAGCAGAATCTATTTCCAAAGAAAGGTTTTCTCTAAAATATATCTCAGATTATCCAAAACTCTTAAAAGAAAATAGAAGTTCTGAAAATGACCTCAAAGGCATCAAACTCTTTCAACTAGGTGTCTTTATCTTGGTCCGTGAAAAAAGCCAAACATTACCTTGTATTTCATTGACTTTGTCAAATTTAGGGAAAAAAAAAAAGGAAATCAATAATTCCATTGCTTTTCCCAATATGATCATGAATATAAGCACCATAAGGTTGTCAATGGTTATAATCATAGAAAGGCTAGATCCCAGATCTCTGAAAACAACCAGGCCAAACCATGGAAATTGAAGCTTTGTTCTTCTGCTTTCTTATCTTCATCATCTCGTACTTCCTCACAAAGCAACTCCTCCGACAAAACAAGAACCTCCCACCAAGCCCTTCCTATTGCCTCCCCATCATAGGCCACCTACACCTCTTCAAGAAACCCATCCACCGGGCCTTTGCTGACCTTGCCCACCGCTATGGTCCGGTCCTGTCCATGCGATTTGGGTCCCGCCCCGTGGTCCTCGTCTCCTCCCCCTCAGCTGCGGAGGAGTGTTTCACCAGGAATGACATCGTCCTTGCCAACCGCCCTCAGCTGCTGGCGGGGAAACACCTTGGCTACAACTACACCACCCTTGTGTGGGCCTCCTACGGTGACCACTGGCGCAACCTGAGACGCATCGCTTCGACGGAGATATTGTCCTCCCATCGCCTTCAGATGTTCTATAGCATCCGCGTCAAGGAGATCAGATCATTGGTCGGCCGCCTTCTCCAAGCATCAGAGAGCAAAGAGTTTGGGACCGTGGAGATGAAGACAATGTTTTTCGAGCTGACACTGAATGTCATGATGAGGATGATCGCGGGGAAACCATACTATGGAGAGAAATTGGAGGAATGCGAGGAGGCCAGGAAGTTCAAGGAGATTGTAGCAGAGACCTTCCAATTAAGCGGGGCCACGAATATGGTCGATTTCTTGCCAGTCTTGAAGTGGTTTGGCATGAGCAGGATCGAGAAGAAGCTGATCATATTGCAGGAGAAGAGGGACAGATTCTTGCAGAATCTGATTGAAGAACACAGGACAAAGAGGCCGCTTTTGACAAGTGAAGGTACGAGCAGAACAATGATCGACGTTCTATTGTCGCGGCAAGAAGCAGAGCCCGAGTACTACACTGATCAAATCATCAGAGGAATGATACAGGTAAGCCAGCCTTCTGGTTCTCTCTTTTGTAACTTGTAATTGCCTTAGATATCTCATGCTCTAGGGAAGTGTTAATGGATTGTGACTCTTGTTCTGTATGCTCTGGCTGGATTGGCACTGATAAGCAACTTGTAGAAGATCGATCGTCAATAGTCCTGTCGAAGGTCTGTCGTGGAATTGAAGGACTTTCTCATTGTACCTTAAAGAGTTGTCAAAGTTTATTGAGGACTAGGATTTCCAGCTCCCCTCTTTATGCATAATGACTTATACTCTGAGCTCTTGAGTACCTAAAACGAATGTATTAAACTATGGTTTTTGAATACTTGCACGTAGTTTCTACAATCCTACTTCATATTTTGTTTTGTATCTGCGGATTGAACCCGAGTGATTGCAGAACCTATCTGCATTTGGGTTAGAACAGAGTAACTATAAGCCCTGTACGTGTTACGGTTCTCCAATCCAATCGGCACGGCTGTTGATGTTACTAAATGCAAGCTTAAATCTTGATTTTGTTTGCTCAGTATATCGGATATCTAGGTGTGCTTTTAAATTTCAATAGAGTCAGCATCTTGATTCGACACTTTAGTGAAGTGATACTCATTTGGGATATGGATTCAGGTCCTGCTATCGGCGGGGACCGATACTAGCGCCGGCACGATGGAATGGGCACTATCTCTTCTTTTGAACAATCCCGAGGCCTTGGCGAAAGCGCAGGCCGAGATCGACGCTTACACGGGACAGAACAGGCTGATCGAGGAATCGGACCTGGCAGAGCTTCCTTATCTCCAAGGTATCGTCACCGAGACGCTTAGGATGTACCCGGCTGCTCCGCTGATTCCGCCCCACGAATCATCCGAAGAGTGCACCGTCGGCGGCTTCCGGGTCCCATACGGCACGATGCTATTGGTCAACATATGGGCCATCCAGAACGATCCGAAGTTGTGGGCCGAGCCCGGAAAGTTCATGCCTGAGAGGTTCCAAGGCCTCGGAATGGAAAGTAATCTAGGCTTCACAATGTCGCCGTTTGGGGCGGGCAGGAGGCGATGTCCTGGCGAAGCGCTCGCGACGCGGATGGTCGGTTTGGCACTCGGGACGTTGATTCAGTGCTTTGATTGGAAAAGAATCGGAGAAGAAATGGTCGACATGAGCGAAGGGGCGGGCCTCACCATGCCCAAAGCTCGACCGTTAGTCGCGAAGTGCCGACCGCGTAAAGCCATCTCGCACCTAATTTCTCAGTGCCGTGACTAGCGAATGTATGTGTTGCCTATGTTAAGAAATGTGCATTTCAACTTTAATTGGGTTTAGTATGTGTGTGTTTTGCAGTTCGGACAGAATTGAGTGTGAATGGGTAACATCAAAGGGCCGCGATGCCCTCGCTTTGGCCGGTGAGGGCATCGTGTCCCTCGCCCAGATCCGGCAAGGGCCGCGACGCCCTCGGCTAGAGCCGATGAGGGTCGGCCAGCCCTCACCCAGAGCCGGCGAGGGCATTGCGGACCTTGCCAGATCTGGGCGAGGGCCGCGACGCCCTCGCTTTGGCCGACGAGGGTCGATCGGCCCTCTCCCAGAGCCGGCGAGGGTTGGCTGGCCCTTGCCCAGAGCCGGTGAGGGTCAGCCGGCCACCCTTGCCGGCCCCAATTTCAGAACCAGGGAAAAAAAAAAGGAGAGAAAAGGAAAAAAAAGAAGAAAAAAATCATAAATTATTAAAATATTATTTTAAAATGTCCACGTCAATGCCACATGGCCGTCCGGCGTCCACATCGGTAATTTCCGGCCAAAATTGACCGGATGGACTCAATTGGCAAGAAATAAAAATGTTTAGGACTTAATTGGTAAAAATGAGAATATTTAGGACTCAATTGATAAAGTTGAAAGGTTTAGGACTTTTTAGACAATTTTCCCGTTTTGCAGTTCCGACAGAATTGAGTGTGAATGGGCAACATCAAAAGGTTGATCCAAGTCCGTGGATTTCTTGCCACCATGAACAGGCCTTTCATGAAATTAAAAGCAGGTCCAAGCCAAAAATCCTCACACAAAAGTGGGCTTAACATAGAGTCCACGAATTTTATGCCTCAAATATATTTTAAAAATAAAAAATTCTAAACTTGTACTCGTACGACATATTTAACATTTGTTAATAAACGAAAGCAAACGGTGATAACGTGATACCCACATAGCTAAAATATGTCAACTTGTTGTATGTTTTTTTCTCATTTTCTTTTTTTTTTCCTTCCTCCCTTTTCTTCCTTGGTTTGGTGACGGTGAGGACGGTGTTGATGGCGACGATAAGGCCAGCAGGGCAGCGAGGGCGGCGGCGAAGACGAAGGAGGAAGGAAAAAAAGGAAAAGGAAAAAAAATCTTAACGGAAGATAAATATGTCGCACGGGTACAAGTTTAGAATTTTTTATGTCGTAAAAAACTATAAGATAAATATTTCACATTGGTATAAATATGAGTTTTTAATACCACAAAAAAGGTTCAAAGTAAATATGTCACAATGAGCAAAATTTAAGAATTTTAGTGATTTTTACCCTCTAATCATTTAACAACTATTATTTGCCTTATCACATCTTGCGTGATTACATTGAAAGATGAAACTTCATAATTATGGAAAAACCGATTTCTTGGAGGAAACCCCGAGATTAGTGGAGCCTTTAGAGGCTTGACATTATTTGGATCCAGCTCAATGCCATCTTCAAATCCCTCTCCCTTCTCTTTTATTTTCTCTTCTTTTCATTTCATTCTTAAAGGGCCATCTACTAGGTTAAACTTTTTCACATAAATTTAGCCTTTATGAATTAGGCTACTACAACTATTAGGCATGTGGATCTCTCGCGAGATTCTACCACATTAATGATTGATTTCACCTAGCTCATGCTAGATCTTATCATGATCGAATTTTACCGATATCGGAGAAATGGTAGTCCACATTTTTAATTAAATGTCAGAGCATCAAATTCTATTGAACATAATCAACTCATAAGTAGAATGTAAGGGCTTGTTTGGTAACCATTCTGTTCTAGGAAATAATTTCTGTTTAGAAATGATTTTTTTTTACTCTGTTTCCGGAAATAATTTTTAAGCTTTGAAAGCGTTTGGTAACGGCTCAAAATTTCCATTCTTGAAATAGAAAAAGAATAGAAATGCATTTGATAACTGTACAAAATTTCTTTTTATTAATAATATTTTTTAATATTTTTAAATATTTTCTTTTCTTTTCTTTCTTTTCTTCTTCTCCTTCTTGGCCATGGTCGGCGATCGGCCACAGGCAAGGGCTGGACCCTTGCGGCTTGGGCGACCTCGTTGACCCTCGCCCAGGCCGCAAGGGTCCAACCCTCGCCGATCGCCGGTCGCCGGCCGCCGGCCAAGAAAGAAGAAGAACAGAAAAGAAGAAAAAGAAAAAATCTCTTCTATTTATGATTATTGTTCCCAGAATCAAGAAACAGCTTTTTTTACTTCTTGATTCTGTTTTAAATTTATTCCCTGACCACTTTTTTACTTCGGGGAACAAAAAAAATTGACTGACGTTACCAAACGAATTTCTGTTCTTTTTTTGTTCCGGAAAACAAAAGAACAGAGAATCAGAGAATTTTGAGCGTTACCAAACAGGCCCTAAAAGTGAGATTTAAGCTCTGACTTTTGGTCCAATATGTAATGTGATTCCTGAATTTTTTGTATATATTCAATTTGATCAATGACCTATATGAAAATATCCAATATTATCTTTCAATTGATACAAGTTAATGTAATTTGTTGATTTAGCTTTCAATTCGGTACATTTGAATGGCGAACAAAAAAATAGCACTATTACGTGGAAGATATTCAACTCAAAACAAAAACTAATATTCCATGTCATCAAATAACATTGATAATCGTTTGAACAAATTAAAAAAATAAAAATATTATTATGTTATAATTTGAGTTGCATATCTTACGTAGAAAATTCACGCATAACATATTTATTTTTCCACCGTTATAATTAACGGATTGAAAGCTAACTCCATTAATTTGAATCGTTTGAGAGATAACATTGGATATTTCCATATAGTCTAAAGACTAAATTAAATATATACAAAAAGTTCAAAGATTATATTGAACGAATTAAAAATTTGAGAATGATATTACGCATTAAATTAAAATTTAGAGATCATTTATATAATCATATCAAAAGACGAAAACTTCGTCACGGAAAACATACTGGGGCGATGCCGGTTTCTTGGAGGAAGCCCCAAGAGGCAAGATCTGAGGAGCCTGCCGTGTCATCATCCCCACCTTGAAGGCTTTAGTGGCTTGACTTATCTTGGCCCAGCTCATTGCCATCCATAATCCCACAACCCTTCTCTCATTTATTTCTCATTCTTAAGGGGGACCATCTCTAGGCTAATCTCTACGAATTTCACTGATGTGAATCTCGAGATTCCACCCGCATCAACGATCGAGATTCACCCGGTTCATATCGGAACTAGCCGGAATCGAATTCTACCGGCACCAAAGAGATGGTAGCTCGACAAGCTTAATTCATCGTGATCTTGTAGACATTTTGTGACGTCGTGCATCACAATAGCGATACAAGCGAGCACCTTCCATATAGTGTGACAATCGTCATCTGCTCTCTCGTAGAGCTTTTCTCTGCCCTTTTTGTGATAGCTTTACTATAGCCTCTTTGTGGTAGCTCCCTTCAATTCCACACCCTAATCTCAATCTCTGCTATCCCATTGGTGATAGCTTCACAAAACACCTCCCCCCTGCTCCCACGAACCCCTTTCGCTCCGTTTCTGTTTCATGGAAGAACCGAATTTGGTTTCTCTGGTTCTTGAGCGTTTTGTTTCCAACTAAGTTGGTGTCTGATGTTGAGCTTTTCCTGGTGATTTTCTTTGATTCTAGATCTGCGTTCAAGTCCTAAAAATGGTCAATATCCTTTTCTTGATCCCTGCTCACCATCTGTTCGACGTTGTGCTCAAGTCAGATCAGTGTTAAAGATAAAGAGAACATTTCGCTGCTCTCTCTCCCGAGAGCTTCCATCTCCCTATTTGGGAGTCTTCCTCTCCCTTAGTGTCCACTGCCTGAGGGAAAGTGGTCAAATCCATGTACTTATTATGCGATGATCTTCCATAAATTTAGAGAGCAAAATTCAGACGGGTTTGGACATTTGTCATATCCATTTAGAGAGCAAATTCCTGATGAGATGAAGGTATTGCTAAGTAGGTGATCCAGTGGTTATCTACCTGCATCGCTCAACAGCGCAAGACCCGCAAGCACCAAGTCAGGTGAAAGAAGTGGAATTCTGAAGGCGAGCCAAGTTATGTGCCCATTGTAGCCATGAATATTTTAGCATGGAATTGTCAAGGCATTGCTGGAAACTCGACAATGAAAGAGCTGAAGGCCACATGCCGATCTTATAACCCCGATATTGTGTTTCTATCGGAGACAAAATGTGATACTAGACGGATAGAAACTATTACAAGAAGGATTGGATTTACTCGGTCCTTCTCTATCCCCGCGGAAAATAATGCGGGAGGTTTAACAGTCATGTGGAAAGATCCTGTAGCTTTATCATTTTCCTTTGCAGACAAAAACCAAATCCATACAGAGGTTTCTAACAAAGAAAATCCCGAACAACTATGGTGGCTTTCGTTGGTGTATGCACCTCCTTATTGTGGGCTTAAACGAGTGTTTTGGGAAGACTTCACAAGCTGGGTTCAAAACTTGGGGGAAGACTGGGTTGGAATTGGTGACTTCAATGAGACTATCTATGGCTATGAGGCGTCCAACAGAAGGGGTCCGGGCCCATCTCGTCACTTTCTGGTAGATTTTATGGATGCATTGGGTTGTGTTGATCTTGGGTTCAAAGGCAAACCTTATACTTGGACAAATAGCATAGAAGGCTTTGCAAGCGTTCGGAAAAGACTTGATCGAGCAGTTTGTTCGACATCATGGTGTGAGAAATTCCCTCGAGCAGGGGTTGTCCACTTGCCGATGGTAAACTCGGATCATTCTCCTATTTTGCCGAATTCAACTTCTAATGAGGATAACTCAAAACGTCCTTTTAAATTTGAAGCTGCATGGCTACGGGACTCAACTTGTGTTAATGAAGTGGAAAAGGCTTGGAACAACAATGTGGTAGGCAATTCATTAACCACATGGCATAGGAAGCTGAAATCGACAGAAACAGCTCTCAAAAGGTGGAATAAGGAACATTTTGGTATTTGCCAACAACGCCTCAAGGAATTGATGGTAGCACTTGATTCCATTCAAAGTGATGACCCTTCAGAAGATCATAGCAGGAGGGAAAAAGAAATCAAGGTGGCTATTAACGAGCAATGGGAGAGATTGGAGATGATATGGAAGCAAAAATCGCGACAATCATGGCTACAGGAGGGTGATCGGAATACCAAATTCTTCCATCTTTCTACAACCATCAGAAGGCGCAAAAATTGTATCCTCGCAGTTCAGGATGATGGAGGCCAATGGCTTACGAGTATAGATGAGATTAAAAACTTCTTTTTATCCAAGTATACAGAGTTTTTCTCGGGACCATCACTTGATCCACACCCTCTCATTAGGGAACTCTTCCCTAAGGTAGTCTCTGACGAAGAAAACTTGGATCTTTTGGCGATTCCAACTGAGGATGAAATATATAACGTCTTGAAAGAGATGGCCCCTCTTAAATCACCAGGCCCAGACGGATTCCATGCTATTTACGAAATGCTGGGAAGTGGTGAAGGCCCATGTTGTCCAATTTGTGCAACATTTCTTTAACACAGGTCAGTTGCCTCATCTTCTCAATCATACTTTTATAGCACTCATCCCAAAAACTCATAATCCACACACCTTTAACCATTTTCGGCCCATAAGTCTATGCAACGTGAGCTATAAACTTATCTCTAAGTTGTTGGCAAATAGACTGAAAGGGTTCCTCAGTCGTATCATTTCACCTCAGCAATCAGCTTTTGTTCCGAGCAGAAGCATTCAAGAGAATTCCGTAATTGCACAGGAAATCTTACATTCCATAAGGAAGAAAAGAAAGGGGAGTCCATTCATGGGAGTCAAGGTTGATATGTCAAAAGCTTATGATAGAGTTGATTGGAATATACTTGATGCAATACTCTGTAGTATGGGGTTTTCGTCTCACTTTTGCAGGCTCATAAAAATATGTGTATCGTCGGTTCATTATTCTCTTCTCATTAATGGTAGACTGGCGGGAAGTTTTAAACCTCAGAAGGGACTTCGACAAGGTGACCCTATCTCGCCATACCTGTTTGTGATATATACTGAACTTCTTTCCAAAATTCTATCTAGAGCAGAGGATCTGAAGATTATTACAGGTATAAGAGTAGGGCGAAAAAGTCCGCCTTTAATTCACCTTATATATGCCGATGACTTGTTGTTATTTGTTGGAGCCACTAAACATCAAGTGAGATCACTGAAGGAATGCCTTGAAATTTATTGCTCGTGGTCAGGTCAAAGCTTGAATCATCAGAAGTCGTCGGTCTTTTTTTCTAAAAATACTTCTGTGGGCATGAAAAAGTTTTGTGTGGATGAGCTCCACATGCGAAAGACAGATCTTGAATCACTGTACCTTGGAAATCCCCTCTTCAATCCAGGAAAAAGTAGGACAAAATATCAATTCCTTGAACAAAAGGTTGACAATAAACTTAGCTCCTGGAAAAGAAAGACACTATCTTGGGCGGGGAGAGCAACACATATCCGATCGGTTGTTCAGAGCACACCAATTTATGCTATGCAATCTAGTCGGCTACCTCGGAGTACTGGTAACAGACTCGATGCCTCTATAAGGAAATTCTGGTGGGGTGTGCCAACCAAGAAAAACAGATATTTTACACCTAAATGTTGGGATTCTCTGTGTAGAAACAAGAAGAGTGGAGGAATGGGTTTTCGGCAGAATAGGGACTTCAACAATGCTTTGCTTTTGAAGCTCGGTTGGGGAATGATCCAAGATAGAGGCAAGTTATGGGGTCGAGTACTTGAAGGGAAATATCTGCAAACCTCAAATTTCTAGAATCACAAGGTCAAGGCATCAGCCTCTCCTCTGTGGAAGGCAATAATAGATAGCAGAGAAATACTTAATCTGGGAACTCTATATCAATTAGGGGATGCAAAGTCGATCGAGGTCGGAAATCACCCCTGGATTCCTAATGTCTCAACTCATATGCCTTCTTTTATTGATCCAAACCCTGCTTTGAAGCACAGAAAGATAGAAAGCTTCTTTATCCCAGGGACAAAAACTTGGGATGTATTAAGTCTAAATCAGACATTTTGCCCAACCTCAGTACAAGCCATCCTTCAGATTCATGTGCCAAACTCCATTGGGGTAGACAAACTGATTTGGCATCCAGCTATCGATGGAGTGTTTTCTGTTAAATCTGCTTACAAACTCATAAAATTGCAAAATGAAAATGGTAACAATAGTGGGATTTGGAACAAAATCTGGAAAGCTAGAGCTCATGAGCGACACAAAATGATGTTGTGGAGGATAGTGTCTAACGTTTTACCTTGTCGAGTTAACTTGTTTCAATTGATCCATATCCCAGACTCCTCTTGCCCGTTGTGTGGAGCTTCGGAGGAAAATTCAGTACATTTGTTCACAAGATGTCCTCTAGCCCAAATTTTGTGGAGACAGAGCCCATGGGGTATTATCTCGTCTACTTGGAACTTCAGGTCTCCGGAAGAGATGGTGAATCACTTTCTTGATCCAGGAAAAATAGCAGAGACAACGGGAGTGGATTGCAAGCTCTTCACCCTTTATGCAGCAATTCTTTGCATTATAATGTGGCGTTACAGGAATGCAAAGCTACATGAATAGACTATTCCAGTGCCTTCCCACGCGATTCAGATGATCATACAAGATTTCTTGGAATATTCAAATATGCTCAAGAGGGAGGACAAAGTTAGGTTAAGCGAGAAACCGGATTTTATTGGGGTAAGATCAAATTCTTGGATTCCTCCATCAAACCAAGAGTTGAAATTTAATGTAGATGGTGCGTGGAAAGATAACAGAGGTGCCATAGGTATTATTACACGATCGTCTAGAGGCTCGGCTGTCCAAGCGTGGACAAGACGAGGAAGATGGAACTCGCCAATGGAAGTGGAAGCTGCAGCTCTTCTTCTCGCATGCAAAGCTGCTCAATCCCTCGGCATCCACAAAGCGGTTTTTGAAAGTGATTGTAAGGTGTTAATGTAGGGTTCATCAACGAAAAACAATGCAGCGGAATATAGAACCCTAGACAGGATCCATGTGTATATTGAAATCGGAAAGGAATTTCGATACGTACCTTTTACGGATCGAAGATAAATCGGCAGAATCGATTGTGTCTCGGATGAGCGCCCCAAGTGTTGCGCCTCTACCGGTATCCACACACACGAACGGAATTCTCCAACGATCCACGTGCTAGCGAAAGATCTTGAAGTTCCTTTTTCTTGAACGCATTTTGCTTTTCGATACTCTATCGAAAAACCCTAGACAGAAACGATTCTCTATCTATTTATACAAATTTCATTATCTAGCGGAATTAAAAGAAGTGGACCGGGCTATTTGGGCCCGCCAAACCGTCCACCTTCAATCGTACGTTTAATCGTTATCTCATAACGCGCACGACCGCATAGATAATTTAAATAGGAGAATAAATTAAAATCTACTTCTTAAGTAGATCAAGGCGCATAGACAATATTAAGTCCGTTCGCTATTGTGTGCGACCCTGTAGATTCACTAAACATTAGCAGTGTGCCCAAAACTCTTTTGGCCCACAAGTCATAAGCGGTCTCTAGCAACACATTATGACTACCTAAGTATAGTGAAGATCGGTTTTCCGACACAACCTAATCCACAACTAATATTAGAGTATTAACCTTGATTGATTCTTAGGGCAGACCACTAACAGTTAATTGATGCTATTCAACAAAAGGGCATTTGTCCTTGGTGTATTCATCCTTTCGTCTCGGACACTCGCTTACTTCTCAGCAACAACCCAGAATGGAGTTTCAAGTGGATCAACAGATCTAATAATGTTGCTGCTCATGAGCTTGCAAAATTGGCTTTTTATCATTTGGGAAATGCTTCGTCTTTCTTTTTTAATGATCTCCACCTAGAATCAAAAACTTAGTGTTAGCAGAGTCTTCTTTAATTTATCGTGTTGATGTAGGCTCTAACTCTTCTGTGTAATATTGTATTTTTCTGATGCAATGGAAGGTTCAATTTAGCAACAACAAGAAAAAGCGAGCACCTTCCATTAAATTAAAGGCTAAAACCGGACATGTTTACTATCGATGACGACCTTGTGAATCCCCCGGTCTTAGAAGCCAGGATGGGGGGTCGACGTCTTCTAGAAAATCAACTACCAAGCCGTCCCTACCAGGTAACTTCGCTGTCCCGCCACTATTCATTTTCTTTCCTTCATCGTATCGTGTTCGATGGGTGAGGAAGGTTCCTCCGTTAGTCCACATTTGCGACTGGCTTTTTTATGTTCTATTCACCAAATGGGTTTTACTTTCAGACCCTTTCTTCTATTCAATATGCCATTTGACGATTGACACAGACTCCACCTGTTATTTTTCTGTTTTCTTGTTCTTGCCCACGACATGCAAAGCTATTTTTTATGAGAATTCTCAACTCACTTTTTAATTTTTGCCTGTTTCCTTACGGAGCGTCAGAATCAAAATCCATATCTAAAATTAAACATCTCTACCCCTAACCCTCTTAAAAAGGTAGGGATTTGAGCTTCCCATCTTCCCTTCCCATACGAAAGGATGGCAAACCCAATGGTTACGAAAGACTCTCTCTTATATTCCAAAGAGAATTATGATTCTTAGAACTTTGAACGTTCGCGTTTAAATAGAGACCCACCAATTCCACTTCCGTGCATCCCCACCACTTGCTTTTGCTTCGTCCCTCAGCCAAACACACGGAACGCTCACAAATGGTGATCGAATTCTTTCTTTTCCTCGCCCTCTACGCCGTCGCGAAGCGGCTGCTCCACAAGATCCGGAACCTCCCGCCCAGCCCGTTCCCCACCCTGCCCATCCTCGGCCACCTCCACCTCCTCAAGAAGCCCCTCCACCGCTCCCTGTCCCGGATCTCCCGGCGCCACGGCCCCGTCGCCCTCCTCCAGTTCGGGTCCCGCCGCGTCCTCGTCGTCTCCTCCCCGGATGCCGCCGAGGAGTGCCTCGCCAAGAACGACGTCGTCTTCGCCAACCGCCCCCGCCTCCTCGCCGGGAAGCACCTCGGCTACAACCACACCAGCCTCGCCTGGTCCTCCTACGGCGACCACTGGCGGAATCTCCGCCGCATCGCCTCCCTCGAGATCCTCTCCACCAACCGCCTCCTGACCCTCTCGAGCATCCGGGCCGGCGAGGCGAAGTCGCTGCTCTGCCGGCTAGCCAAGAGCGGCGGCCAGAGCGTGGACATGAAGTCCGCTTTCTTCGAGCTGATGCTGAACGTGATGATGCAGATGATCGCCGGAAAGAGGTACTGCCAGAATATTCTAACATTAATCGCACTTCCATATCTAACGGTTTAAACTTTTAAATTGAAGTGAAGTTCAATCAATCCTTTTCTGCGCAGGTACTACGGAGAGAACGTGGGGGAGGTGGAGGAGGCGAGAAAGTTCAGGGAGATCGTGACGGAGACGTTCAAGATCGGCGGCGCGACCAACATCGGCGAGTTCTTGCCGTTCCTGAGGCGGATGGGCCTGAACGGAGTGGAGGAGCAGCTGATGGCGGTGCAAAAGAAGAGGGATGAGTTCATGCAGACCTTGATCGACGAGAGCCGGAGCGGTGAGGGCGATGCGTCGCCGGAGGCGGCGGAAGGAGGGAAGAGGAAAACGCTGATCCAGGTGCTCTTGTCTCTGCGAGAGACTGACCCAGAGTACTACAAGGACGAGACTATCAAGAGCCTTATGCTGGTGAGTCTCTCTACCTTTCATTTCCTCGTGTTTTTCCTAGCTGAATATTGCTCATCATATCAAAACCAAATTGCAAAATTGATCAACTAAAAGTTGTAGACTTTTTTGTTGGGTAGTTGAATATGTCACACTCGATTAATCTTTTATATGACTATTATTTGGACCACAGCTCTATCATCTCTTCAATCTTCTCATGACCATACAATAAATTTATTACTAAGAAAAGCAGAAAAATATTGATACTCCCAGGCCTAAAATCTTGACTTCTGCTTCGTCGAGATTGGCGCTCCTAGTTAGCGGGTGTCGAGCAGATTTACACAATCGTTTGAATATGACTTGACTTAATCATATAACGCAAGCGATTTCATCTTGGAAGCTAGTTACACCTACATCTTATTTCATTCTTTTAACTTGAGTTTATTACAGCATGAAGTTTGGATGTATGGTGTTTTCTTCTGGCAGGTTCTGTTAGCGGCCGGAACCGATACGTCGGCGGCGACCATGGAATGGGCGATGTCGGCTATGCTCAACCATCCGGAGATTCTGAAGAAGGCGCAAGCCGAAATAGACGAGGTCGTGGGTCACGACCGCCTATTCAGCGAATCTGACTTGCCTAAGCTCCCCTACCTCCACTGCATCATCAACGAGACGATGCGCATGTACCCCGTGGGTCCGCTCCTCGTGCCCCACGAATCGGCGGAGGAGTGTCACGTCGGAGGCTACCGCATCCCGCCAGGCACGATGCTCCTGGTCAACCTGTTCTCCATACAGAACGATCCCAAGTACTGGCCCGACGCGGCGAAATTCAAGCCGGAGAGATTCGAGGGGATGGAAGGCGTGAGGGACGGGTACAAGATGATGCCCTTCGGCTCGGGGAGGAGAGGGTGCCCGGGCGAGAACCTCGCCCTGCGCATGGTCGGGCTGGCGCTCGGGTCGTTGATCCAGTGCTTCGAGTGGGACCGGATCGGCGACGAACCGATCGACATGACGGAAGGGACCGGACTGACCATGCCCAAAGCTCAGCCGTTGTTGGCTAGATGCAGGCCTCGCTCCTTCACATCGGACCTTCTTTCTCAGGCTTGAATCGATCGATAGGGGCGAGGGGTGTCGATGTTTCGAGATGTAGCACTAGCACTCTGGGGTGTTGATACAATAGCCTTCTTCTTTGAATAAGGGAGTTCGCCATGCGGAGTGATTTGAAACGAGTGGCTAGCATCATTTACACTTGCGATTTCGTAGATTTTCTCCGTGGCGATGAATTAATCAAATCCCGATAAAAATATTCGACGTTCGGTGGGGCCAAACACAGGATGACGATGCATCTTCGAGAACATAGCGACAGGCACGACCTCTTGAGAGTCCAAGTCTTTCCACTAGAATAAAGGATACAAGGTATTGTCGGGTATAGCGGTGCCGTGCACGCGGGGAAAGGGGAACAGGCGGATCGCTAATTGCGGGGTGGTCCCCATTCCCGTGTACGGGAGTCGGATTCGAATCTATTCGACAAGAAGGTGTTTTGATGACTCTGAAAAACGGACAAATTAAGTCAACTCCGGTGCTCGCCTTCAATTTAGTGGAGGCTGTTGAAGAAGCAGTGCCTCTCTCTCTCTCTCTTCTGTCCTAGAGGTCAGCAAAAGAAACTATCTGGATCGGATCCATCAGTTTCGGGCGATTCCCGGAGGCAACGGTCCGGTTCCATAAAATTAAAATCGGTGGATTTCGGTTCAATGTGAAACCGTCCACTTGGACCGCATCGGTTTTTTAAAATTTTTTTATTTCTTAAAAACCTGTAAAAAAAAACCCTAAACCATCTTCCATTTCACAAAGAAAGATCTATCAAGACTGGAGAGATTGTATTTACTTATACATATGAGTAAGACGATAAAAACAAATCAAAACACAATAGTAGTTGCTTGTTCCAATCAAATTTTGCCACAAATTAAAAAAATTTCTATGAAGCCTATAATGTCACACGTTAGAAATGTATTGATTAACAAAAATAGTTTCAATTAATAAAAAAAACTGAATATGCTATTAGTTCCATTAGTCCATCCCGATACCGTTTCAGAAATTGGAAACCAGTCTTTCTTATCCAATTTCTAATTTTTGGATGAAAATTGGACCGCCCGAAACACCCCTATTTTCTCCATTGCTCTAGAAGCCGCAACTTGCCTAGACGAAAAGTCAAACTTGGCTGCCGACAAGTAGGAACTTGGAAAGTTGGCAGGAGGCGAGTTGGCGCATATAATAAACCATGGGTATGGAGTAGGAGCAAGTGTTATCTGTTTGGGGTGTGGAGTAGAAAGGACTCCACCATGGGTGTGTGTTGTGTGTGGAGTGTTGTTCTAGTGATAACAAGAGAATGTTTATTGTAGTCACGTTTTCGAAACTTTATGAAGGCCACATTAGTGTATCCACATCGATGTGGACGGGTTCCACTTAATTGTAAAAATGCCATGATACGCTGTAAACTAATTTTACAACGTCACGACGTGTCATCATATCGCAATGTAGGACAAAAGTATCGTAAATAGTGTGATCAAACCATACACTGTTGTACTTGGAAAATTCCCGATCCTCACGTGCTTGATGCAATCTAGGAACGGTTGATTTTTGGGCCTTGATATGAGCCTTTTTGCCCGTTTGGCACTAGGGGTGCTTAGCGTCCGAAGCGATCTCGATGAATGAACAATGAAGGCCAACCTTGGAAGGTTCATACAACATTGGCTGAATTATTCAAGTACGTCTAACCCAAGACATGGAGTGCGGACATGATAAAACTATTTTATTTGTCATTTAGTGATGTTGATGCCCAAGTCTTTCGAGTCCCGTCGAGCTTGCTTGAACCTCTAAAGGACCCGACCTAATTGCACATCGCATAACAAAGGAAGCCTCCTGAGCTTGGACCCGGGAGCACCATCTGATACTTAAGTTAGTGAAAAGCCAGTTCAAATTGGGAATCCGGGTTGAGCTGGGTTGATCAGCAATCCCAAAGCAAGAACCACTAGATCAAACCAAGTCAGTTCCGATCGGTTCTCAGTGGAATAGGACCCAAATCATAATAAGGTCAAGCCTAGATTGCAAATGAACCAAGGTTTCTTGAACCCGAAGAGTGATAGAAAGATTTCAATCATGTAATGGCGATTTCAAATTGCTTGAGAGTAACCTCTACGCTACTAGAACAATCATGTATGCCGGTTGAATAACGGCTGCGAATCAAATACCTGGACTCGATTGAGTCACGTTCGAACATTTGAACATGTGATCTTCTCCGCTCTTTGAGTTCGACGCGCAAATCCATTCATAGGTGTGTGGGTTCTTTCTTCCATGGAAAATCAAAATAATGGCGAAGGGATTTTCAGAATACTCGCGGCTTCCACACGCCTCAATCACCCTGTCTTTCACACTATTGTACATGGAAATTTCTCATCGCGTGCTTAGTACACTCTATCGATATTCGATGGTTTAGAATTACAGATTCTTGGGCCTTGATACGGGCCCCTTTGCCCGCTTGGCACTGGTAGGTCCAGCATCGGAGCAATCTACGGTACATGAACGATGAAGGCCAACCTAAAAAGGTTCAAACAAAATTGGCTGAATAGTTGTAGTATATCTAACCTGAAATTGATGGGAAATCGTTAGGTCGCCTTTAGTGGCCTAGGCATGGTGCATGAACATGATAAAATTATCTTATTTGTCATTTGGTACTGTTGATATGTAGTTTCTTGGGTCCCGACGAGCTTGCTCATTCTCAGGAGGACTATCCGATGCTTTAGTAAATGGATGAGAGATGGAGAGAGGTAAGTGAAAGAGAGAGACTATGGTTGCGCATGTCAACCATTCTGTATCCGGGAATAGATTCTGCTCAGAAATGATTCCTTTTGATTCTACACCCGGAAACAATTTCTAAGCATTTGAAGGCGTTTGGTAACTGCCCAAAATTTCTATTCTTGGAATAGAAAAAGAACAGAAATGCATTTGGTAACTACACAAAATTTCATTTTATTAATAATATTTTGAATTTTTTAATATTTATTTCTTTTTTTTTCTTTTTTTTTTTTTTTCTTTCTTTCCCTTCTCTTCCTTGGCCAAGGCCGGTCCCCGGCACGGGCGAACGACCACAGGCCAGGGTCGGCGAGGGCGTCGCGGCCCTCGTCGGTCATGACGGCGAGGCTCGAGCCTCGCCCAGCCAAGGCGAGGCCGACCTCATCGTCGCCACCGAGGTCCGTCGCCTGGGTGGCGACGGCGAGGTCGACCTCGCCTTGACTGGGTGAGGCCTCACCATCGCGGCTGCAAGCCGCCCTCGCCGGCCCTGGCCTGTGGCCAACGGCAGGCGGCAAGCCGAAGAACAACAACAAACCAAAAAAAAGAAGAAAATGAAGAAGAATCAAAAATGGAAAAATTGTTTCAGAATCAAGAAGCTACCATTTTTTGCTTCTTGATTCTGTTTTAAAATTGATTATGGGAATAATTTTTTGCAAAATTGTGCCCGGGCACAAAAAATTTAACAAACGAATTTCTGCTCCCAAACTGATTATGGAAACAAAAGAACAAAAAAAAATTATTATTTACCAAGTTGCCAAACGGGCCTTAAGGATGACGAAGTCCTTCTTGAGACATGTACCAAGAAACGATTCGTCTTACCCTTCGGAGCAAATAATCTTTTCCTTTTTTAAATACCATCATCGGATGTCCTTCTCAGGGTCGAACCGCCGTTAATAGGCGGACACATGCGCTGAGTGGGGGTTTGGCCACTCATTCCAGGCCTTCGAGGTCGGAGTTTGTGTCCCATGATTGGGTCTCGGGGGCTGCGCCCCTTAGAAGTTGCGGCTCGGCCACTTCGGTGGGGCTTTGAGCCTGTGATTGGAAGTGAAAATTTTGGCTCTAATGGATATCATTCTAACAAATTTGAATATGTTTTCGAAGAAATTTTTAAGAAAGGATGAAGAAGGAATTCAATTAAGCTAGGATGGGATAAATAGAAAAAAGGATGGGTGAAAAGAATAACCGGAAGAGATTCGGAGAGAGAGAGGGAACACGGCACGATGCCCCTTTACTTACCATTGTGTTGGCCGGGTTTGCCTATGTGGTGCATGCTAACTTTGATCAAATAAAAAAAAGAGTTAAAAAGGTCACAAGCAAAAAGAAGAAAAGAGAGAAGGAGCCGTGCGTGAGTGGAGAGCCCAAGAGGGCAAAAGAGGGTTGCGGCTTATGACGTTGGCGAAATTGGCTCAAATATGTAAGATTGAGGTCTACGTGTTAATCGGTTTCGTTTTATGAGAACTTTTTCCAAATTCTCCAATTGCGATCAGGGTTTCTTGCTTCATTTGTGTTAATCTACTTTCGTGGTGATAAAAACTCTATTGTATTGTTGATATTGTGCCTTTGGTGTATGACTAGAAAATAACACTTTATGTATCTTACTATTATTCGTGAGACCGAGAGCGAGAAGAGCACGGGAGAAGAGGGCTGCAGCTTGTAACATTGTCAAATTGGCTCAAATTTTAGTGTGTTATTCGTAGGACTGAGGTTTACGAGTTGATCAGTTTCATTCGTTAAGAACCTTCTCCGAATTCTCCAATCGCGATTAGGGTTTCTTGCTCCATTTGTGTTAATCCACTTTCGTGGTAATGAAAATACTATTGTAGTGTTGATATTGTACCTCTAGTGTATGACTAGAAAAGAACACTTTATGTATCCTATTATTCTTTGTGATTAGTAGAAGTTTTTTAGCATTTTTTCCCGTTTTTGATTTTTCATGTAAAATCTTGGTGATTCGTCTCCTTAACATTTCAACATTATAATTTATATTTACATATCGCGAGATTGTATTGCTGGAATATTATTGATTGTTGCTGCGGTTAAGTCGATTTTGATCGGTTTAGTTTTTGGGAAAGAATTGATCCTGAATTGGGTTAAAGTTTTTGGAGAATTGTTACCCGATTCTTTCCAACACGTTGTCTAGCAAACGTCCCTCGCCCTCTCCCTCTCCCTCGCCCTCTCCCTACATCATAGTCACTGATCTAGGGACAAGTCAACAGCACCCGTCATCATGATCTAGTGGCAATCCCTTTCGATGCTGCCAAATCAAATCATAATTGTTTCCTCGATCTACATTAATTCGAGCATCTCAATTCTTGACTAGTCCAGCTCGAGCGTATCGACTTCGATGGCTGTCAAGCATCAAACTGCAAAAGTGGAGTAAAAGTGTTGGTATTGCTTTATTTAAATGACTCAGATCGATTGGCTCGATAATTTTCGTAAGCTTAGAAGAAATTGACTCGTTCTCACCCGTTTCCTTTAGTAGCTAAACAAGCATCGTCATCTATCCTAGATCGTACACCTTGACATAGGAAAACTAATGATTTGGTGGACTTTAACTAATATAAAAGAATTATTGATTTAGATGGGGAAAATCATACTAATTTATGAAACCATGTTATACTGCTCCAATCGGTATTCAATCCCGACGAAGGTGATTTTAGCTAATTAATTGGCCCTATATATATACTCAACAAGCTAATCATTAGAGCATGCAACGATCCTACCATTATTTGAAGTGTTCGAAATGCATTGGTCCCCAAAACAATATGAATTACATTTGTCA